GATTACAAGCTGAAAAGAAGGTCGCAGGTAACATGAACCTTTCCTCTTCAAAGAATTTTTTGTCTCAGAACCTGGGGACCAGATTAGAAATTTGGCCCAATGGACATCTGAATTAGGCTGACCACATGGCAAATGCAAACATGACTGGTAGGGATAGAAGTTAGGAAGGGTTTAGAAGTCAGAAAGGAGTCAGGACTTAGACTAGAAGGCTAATGGGTACCCCATCAGAGAGAGAGGATGACACAGGATATAGGCTGTGAAGGGATAGCAGCGCAAAGGGGAACAGGAATGAATCCAGCTGACACCATGGGTCTTCTAGTGGAGAAAGCACCTGACACAAAGTGTATAACCAGGACTCCCTGGTGGCACAAGGGGTTGAGACGCAGCACCATGAAGCTATCCGCAGCCACTGCAGCACGAGTTCGATCCCCAGGCCAGGGAGGTGACCCATATGGCACAGCAGACCTCTCCTGGCTCGCCTCTGTTCCCCTCACCAGTGTATTTCAGTCAATCTGCCTGTTCTGTTCCCCACTCTGTCTCTGGTGAATCCTCTCAAGCCCCCACCTCTGGCCTCTACCCCAGAGCTTGTATGCATAAAAATAAATCTTTAAAAAAACAAAACAAAACAAAAAAACACAAAGTGGATACCCACTGGATATTTGTTGAATTAACAAACGTTCACAAATAATGACATGTGCCCACATGCAAAGAACATGAGTTTGTTTGTTTGCTTGCTTAATTTTTTTCATTGATTTTTATTTTTTCCTCAAATTTTATTAATCTATCAATCATTTACATAATCATATCATTTGGAGGGTACATTTTCGCACCTCCATATGTGCACATGCTCATTCACCCTCCACTGAAACTCCTGTACAAATGTCCTCACCCCTCTCCTCCCCTACACCCTCCTACACCCCCCTCATTTCCTCTGGTAACCAGTATATTTTTCACAGAGTCTAAGAATTATTTTTACTGTGCTTTGCCAGTTTGCTTTTTTTGTTATTTACATTCCACAAATAAGTGAAACAATCTGGTAACTGTCTTTCACTTTCTGACTTATTTTGCTTAGCATAATCACCTCAAAATCCATCCATTTTGTCCCAAAAGGCACTATGAGTTTGGAATCAGACCTTAATTCATAATTTAGCCCACTTATCCATCCCAAAGCATTTATTATATGTGCCCGGAGTACATATAATACATGAGACCCGAAGCATCCAGAAATAAAAGATGCAGCTCTTGACCTCAACAACTCACAGTTGATTGACAGAGGCAGACACAATCACTCTGCAACATAAGTGCTGAGACAAACGTGTGCACAGGCTCCAATCCACAGTCCCCCAGGGGTGATCTCCATTCAGGCCTGAAGGGCCAAGAGGGTCAGGAGGAACAGAGGAGGGAGGTCAAAAGTGGGGTGTGTGCAGGGATTCCAGTCAGACAGAACAACAAGGGCAGGTGTTCAGAGGTGAGTATTCAGGATACTGTAAATGCCGAAGCACATCTAGAGCCCAAGTGTGATATGTTAGCTTAGGGAAGGGCAGAGGGTTGGAACAGACGAGGAAGAATAATAAGCAGGAGCCAGTCATAAAGGACTTTTGTGTGACATGCTAAAGGGATTGGATTTTATCCTGAAGGTGATGAGAAGCAAATGAAGAATTTTAAGTAGGGGAGAGACATGATCAAATTTGCATTTCAGAAATAGCAACAGAATGGAGGATGGTTTGGAAATGGATGAGGCTGGTCGTAGGGAGAATAACTTATTAGTCTACTGCAGTAAAAATGGAAAATGATGAGGGCCTGGGCTCAGCTAAAAGGTAGTGGGTGTGTCCAGGTCAGGAGACAGGAATTACAGGACATGGTCTTCATTATTTTTAGGTAATGAGGGAGAGAAAAGAGGCCAGGTGACTTCCCAGCTTTTACTTGGTACCTGGGAGAGAGTGCAGTGCAGGGGAAGGAGAGGAAGAGAGTAAGAGAATGAATATGAGTGGAATCCCTTCCATGTTTGAAGCATTGTGTAAAGGATTTTACATCAATTCTTTATTTGATCTTAACAACAAACCTGGCTAGTGGGTGTTATTAACTTTTTTCCAGATAAGAAAGCTGAAGTAAAAAATAAGAAAAAGAAAAAGAAAACTGAAGTTCAGATATCTTTTTTTTTCCTTTTGTGGAACCCTTGCTGGCAGCCCCACAGCCCAGCGTTCAACCGCTGCACCACCAGGGGAGGCCCTGAAGTTCACATATCTCTTAAAACAGCCCACAACCAACACAAATGTCTTTCAGACCCTGGTCTGGGCAGGCATGTTGGAAGAAGATATCAGTTAACCTTGTGAAACAAGGGAAATAAATCAGAGAAAGACAAGTACTGTAGGATCTCACTTGTATGTGGAATCTAAACAAACAAAATAACAGATACTAGGAGTGGGCAAAAATGGGTGACCATTCATTTCCCAGCTTACCCTTTCAAAACTTCTTGGGACTCAAGCTGCTTGATCTAACATATGAGGTCTCCTAGGCACTGGTCCTGCCTGTATCTCAACCTCAAGCTCATCTCTCTGAACTTCTTTTTTCTCACTCTCAGCCTGAAATGTGAACAAAAGAGGCTAGCTTATGATTCCACCATATCCTATTTTTTCTATCTGGTTTCTTGAACTTGCACCCTCTGCCAGAATTGTTTTTTATTTTCACCTGGTTAACATCAAAGCAGGATTTGGTACCCCTCTTCTGTGGTCCCCCCTGATGCTCTGTGCATAGCGTCATCAGTTATCCAAGTATTTTATCAGTGATCCAAGTGTATTTATGTAGCTATAAATACAGTGATCTAAGTATTTATGGCTATTTAAAAGTCTGGGTCCACAACTGACAGTGTATTTAAACTCCATTAGGATAGAGAGCATTTTTTTAATCCTAGAAGTGTCTAGCAGGTTCTCAGCCAATATTTGTTGATTGAATTAGTATGAATTCTCAGAGTCATACCCAAGCTAAGACATCAGCATACACATAAATATGCTCAATCTCCCAAGAATCAAAGCTAAGCACCTGTGCTCTCTGCAAACCCACTTAATTCAAAATACAGTGAGTTATGCATAGTTGGATATTGTGCCACTTGGGATTAAGGGTGCCACCAACTCTTCCTGGGAATCTAAAGAAAGTTCTTAATTCAATCTCTGTTCTCTCTCTCTCTCTCTCTCTCTCTCTCTCTCTCGCTCTTTTTATTGTTCTAACCTGCACTTGGGTTTTTAACTCATCTTTGGAGCAACATCAATTATAACTTGACTCTTAACTGAAGAAGCAGAAGACATGACAGCAAAAGAAAAAGAGGAAAGGAAAGATGATTTCTAGTGGCAGAAGACTATGAAAGGCTGAAACAACAAACACCCAGCAGATATGGGTGAGGATCTTCCAAAGGGCAAGAATGAAACTTGGACTTTATTCTAGCATGGCAGAGTCAGATTTTTCTTTGGTTTTTTTAAAAAAAGATTTATTTTTATTTATGTATGCATACAAGAACTAGAGTGCAGGCCAGAGGTGCGGGGCGGGGCGGGAGTGGGGTGGGGTTGAGAGGGTTCACCAGAGATAGAGTGGGGAGCAGAACAGGAGAGACAGGAGAGGTCTGCTGCACCATGTGGGTTAGCTCCCTGGTCCTGGATCTAACTCATGCAGCTGGCTGGAGATAGCTGAGACTTTAACCCCTGAGCCATCAGGTAGGCCCCTAGAGTCAGATTTTTCTAACACCAATGTCTCCGATATATTATCCATCCCACACAGTTTTTGAAATTACTTTTTCTGTTCATAGGAGAACAGAAGAGTACATATAATTGAAAGAGTACCTATAACATGGAAGAGTACATATAACTTTTTATACTTACAAAAATATTCTTCAACCCTAGTGAAAACACCCACTTCTGATTCTAAACGTATTAACTAGAAGTTCTTCATCTGGACTGCAGAGAGGACCCAAAACATAATTTTTAGGGCCCCCTGAAAGATAAGAATGTAGAACACATTGTTCAAAAACCATGAAGATTTCCAAGATAGCAAGAGTAGTGCATTAAGCCAAGCCAAAGACCCCTGGGGCACAGGGCCTGTGTCACTGCGCAGGTCACTCGTCAATGAAGCCAACTCTGGTGCAAGAGTCCCCAGATCAACACAATTCTCTTTAATTGTGTTGAGGCGGCCCTGATTTAATCTTCAGCTCTCCTCAGGAAGTGGGACCTCTTCAAGCAATTTGCACAAGCTCTTCATGAGATCCCAATTCTTTTTAAGAAATTCCTTTCGGGGGCCTGTGCAATAGTTATACCGATGCTTTTACGATTTCCAGTGCACATGGAAAAGCTGGCTCCGTCTCTCCTCTTTTCCCAACCCCTCCAGGACCCACGGACAGAGGAGATTGCAGATCTAGCCTAAAACTCAACAGTAGGGGAGATTTCCATGAGTCTGATAAGGAACCACTTCTAATGAGTCATGATAAGGTCCCCACCCACCAGGTCTCCTCCCCACTCCCCATGTGCCAGTGACCAGCACCATGGGCATGCCGGGAACACCTCCCACCCAGGCCTTTGCCCTGGGTCCAGAGTCTGTGCCTGAACTAGGGAGTTGCTGAGAATAACTGGAAGCCACACACAACAGAAATTCTCTGTTTTCCAGGTACCGAGGGCCAAACCCCTAACTCCAACACTGATAGCTCTTGAGATCAAGGGGAAAGCAGGGTGGAGCAGGTTTTGGGGAAGGACATTCATACCAAATTCTGTAGCCTGTAGGTGCATGGTGCCTAGAGGAGCAGGTCGGAAATCTTTTGGGGGCCAGAGACAAAAAGCAATATAGTACAGGCAATAAGGCAGGGGGTCAGGTCAAGGACAGGTTAGGGAAGGAGCTCTGCAGGAGGGAAAGTGGAGGGGAGGAGGAGGGTGAACAGCACCCTCTCTTGCCCCCATGCTGAGCTGACTGCTAACCCCTCCCACACCCAGGGGTCTGTGACAGCCACCGCAATACCTGAAGCCATGGCCAGTAGGGAAGATGAGCCGAGGAACTGTGTGGTATGTGGGGACCGAGCCACAGGCTATCACTTCCATGCCCTGACTTGTGAGGGCTGCAAGGGTTTCTTCAGGTGAGAACCTCTTCCTCAATAGAAACATCCTCCCAAAGTGCTTGCCTTTAAGCCCTGGCACATGCCCGGGCTTGTAGAGCTACATTACTCCCTCATCTCAGAGCCTTGTGCCCTGAGGCTATATCTGGCCAACTTCAACACTGTATAAACAGGTGGGGTAATAACAGAAGAAAGGCCAAGTGTTGGGCCTCCCCAGTGGCGCAGCGGTTGAGCGCTGGGTTGCGAAGCTGCCTGCAACCTCTGCAGCCGGTTCAATCCCCGGCTGCTCCCCGGCCACCGGAGGAGGGTCCCACATGGCGCGCAGACCTCTCCTGCCGCCCGCTGCTCCCCTCAGCAGTGTCCTTCGGTCCTTCTGCCTGCTCTGCTCCCCGCTCTGGCTCTGGTGAATTCTCTCACCCTCCCGCGCTTCTGACTGTACCCAGTGCATGTATAAACCAAACAAACAAACAAATAATAAATAAATAAATAAGACATGCCTCTAGAAAATTAAAAAAATAATAAAAAATTAAAAAAAAAAAAAAAAGAAAGGCCAAGTGTTTGTCCTATGGCTACCACCCCTGAGTCAAAGGAGTATGTTATGATGTGCTCACCACCTGCAAAGCACCCAGCTCGAACTGCATCAACCAGACTTTCCTGAGTGATTCTGGGTCCTCAAGGACGTGCTTGAAATGTGTTGTCTCCCAGCTACCCTTAGGAACCTTTGGGCACAGCTCAAATTTTCCCACAGCACCACAGGTCTTCAGACCATGTCATTTCCCACCCTCACATCCCCACCGGTGCATTGTCACCCCCACCCTCACATCTCTGTCTCTCACAGACGAACAGTCAACAAAAACACCACTCTCTCTTGCCCCTTTGCTGGAAGCTGTAAGGTCAACAAGGCCCAGAGGCGCCACTGCCCAGCCTGCCGGTTGCAGAAGTGCCTAAATGCTGGCATGAAGAAGGATAGTGAGTTGGTCCCCTACCATCCCAGACCCCACGTATTCCCCACACAGCAGGCAGAGTGAAATTTTGGAAACAAATGGGATTATGTCAAAACTTACCATGACTCCTCATCTCTTTCCCTGGTCTAGCTCCCCAGACCACCTCAGACTTTATTTCCTAACTTTTGCCCAGGGCTGCATCCCCCCAGCCACACTGACCTCATGCCACCTTCAGCTGCGCTGGGCACACTGTCATCTGGATTTGCACTTGTACTTGGCATGCCCTCAATCCCATGCTCTTCCCCTAGACATTCTTGTCTTCTCTCGGCTCAAGTATTGCGCCTGTCACTTAGGCACTTGATAATTGTTGACAAATCATTAACGCTCCCCCCCCACCCAACAAAGTAACTGGGTGCCCAAGTTCACTCAGCTAAAAGGTTGTAGTCTGTATTCAAATTTGTCTGTCTGACTCCCAGACCTTAGCTTTTTCCATGATGTCACACTTTTCAGTGTGCAGCAGTGGAAACTGGAGAAGTCAAAAACTCTTGGCTTGAATTCAGTCTACATCTCTTAAGTATTTTGTGAACTTGGACCTGTCACTGAAATCTCTGTTGTTTCTGAAAACAACAGAGGATTGTTTCCTCCAGTGAGATTTGACCTTAAGACCTTTGAAATTATAATGCTCTGCAAACAGAAGTGAGGTTTTAGTTATTTCCACCTCTCCCTCTTCAGTGTCCCCCAGGAGTCAACCTCTCCTCACACCATTCCTTCCTCTCCTGGGGTCAGTTGCACAGGCTGGGGGAAGTGCACAGGACTCCCCTATACCTGCAGGCACAGGGACTCCTGCCAAGCTCAGAGAGCCCTTAGCTTCTCTCCCAGCCCCTCACCCCAGATATCTCCTGGGTCTCACACCAGGCCTGTCCCAGAGTGTTCTGCTGCTCTCAGTAGCGTTGTTGACTCTCTTGCACGGTTGGTCATAGTGATCCTGTCGGCAGAAGCCCTGGCGTTGCGGCGAGCAAAGCAGGCTGAGCGGCGGGCACAACAGGCACCTGTGCAGCTGAGTAAGGAGCAGAAAGCCCTGGTCCAGACTCTCCTGGGGGCCCACACGCGCCACATGGGCACCATGTTTGACCAGTTTGTGCAGTTCAGGGTGAGCACAGAGGCTTTGGGGCTGGAATGTGACCCAAAGTCCCGAGGAGGCTGGCCTGAGGGAAGGGGCGGTGTGCCAGGCACCCATACAGAGGCCAGGACTTCTCCAGACCCCAGCCTAGGCAAGCTCCATGATGAGGAGCTCTCCAAGATGAGGCTGGCGAGGCCTAAAGGCGAGCCCCAGGGCTGGGCCTCTTGCTCAGGCTGTGATCTCTGCAGCCTCCAGCTCATCTGTTCGTCCATCAGCAGCCCTTGCACACCCTGGGCCCGGTACTCCCCCTGCTTGCACACTTTGCAGACATCAACACTTTCATGGTCAAGCAAGTTATCAAGTTCACCAAGGACCTGCCCCTCTTCCGGTGAGTGACCTTCCCTTAGCTTTTGGAAGAAAACACATACCTGGTCAATAATAGCCCCCATTACGCCCAAAAGGGCACTGACCAAACTCATCCCTCAGGCTTCCCAAACACCACTCTTGGATTCCCAGCTTTGTTTTCATGTGTCTCGGTTAGGACTGGGATTCCTCTCCACTTCTGAAGTTCAGGCAAGAGTCTTAAGTGCCTTGTTTTCTTTTTTTCCAAGGTCCCTGCCCATAGAGGACCAGATCTCCCTCCTCAAGGGGGCAGCTGTAGAAATCTGTCACATCGCACTCAATACCACTTTCTGCCTCCAAACTCAGAACTTCCTCTGTGGGCCTCTTCGCTACACGATAAAAGACGGAGCTCATGGTGAGCAGTGCTAGACAGCCAAAGGCAGGTGTCCTTGTGGGATGGTGTGTGCCGAGATGGCCTGGAGGGGCCTAAGCCTAGTGTCTCCCACAGCGGGGTTCCAGGAAGAGTTCCTGGAGTTGCTCTTTCGCTTCCATGGGACACTGCGGCGGCTGCAGCTGCAGGAGCCCGAATACGTGCTCATGGCAGCCATGTCCCTGTTCTCTCCTGGTGAGCATACCTCAAAGCCCTCTTCTGTTCTGCTACCACTACCCACACTCTCCGCTCCTTGAATCCATCCATCCCAGACGTTTTAGCCTTCAAACCTGCAAAACGGGTTTCCAGTGGCCTCAGCTTCCTAGCGCACTGTGTAGACCTGCCCCAGCCCCCACCTTGTCCTTCCCACTTCCCTATCTTACAGACCGACCCGGGGTCACCCGGAGAGAAGAGATTGATCAGCTACAGGAGGAGATGGCCCTGACTCTGCAGAGCTACATCAGAGGCCAGCCGCCCAGGCCCCGGAACCGGTACAGTGGGAGATGGAGGCAGGTCGGAGACAGGGAGATGGGGGCTACCCAGAGCCAGACGAACCCTGAGCTCAGAATAGATGCCTTTTCACTGTCCTTTTCTTTGGGAAACCCACTTTCTTGGGGGTTTAGTGCTTCCCTCCCATGTCATGTAGTTCCAACATCCAAATTGCTCTACTGCTTCTTCATCTCACTTTTTCCAGATTTTTTTTTTTATTCAATAGATGCAAAGTAGCTCACAGGCTCTTTATGACAACATTCCTGAGACCAAGACAGGCAGTTCCTCAACATCCAACTCTCCTGAGAGTTGCTTTCATTCTCTTTCCATGGCCCTTCTCCCTTTCCCATGGGCCAGTTCCTTTCATTTTTTATTCCCCTTGAAGTTATGGTCATACAGTTTCATGGCCAAAGCCAACCTCTGGCTCAACAGTCCTTGACCTATCAGCCCTGGAGTATGTTCCACATCTTTCTTGCCCACTAGATTGGTCAGAAGAAGGGTGCTTCATGCCATAGAATGCACCCACCTTCTAGAACCCCTTTCTAGAACCTGCTCTAGAAGGTCAAACCCTACGATTCCATACAGTTAATGTTCTGTTCAAGCCTGCGGCTTCCTTCACATTTGGCCTTCAGAGTTCTGGGCTCCAGAAAATCTGGGCATGGTGAAAGAAGACATGGGAACCTCTGATAAATGTGTTATATACCAGAGCATGATTTTCTTTCATGTTCATATTTAGCTTCACTGAGGGGTAGGGACCTCAGGACCAGACTCTCAGTCCCCCTATTTTCATCCTCTTTCCCTAATGACTCCACTACTTCCTCCAAAGGTTTCTGTATGCGAAACTGTTGGGCCTGCTGGCTGAGCTCCGGAGCATCAATAATGCATATGGGTACCAGATCCAGCACATCCAGGGGCTGTCTGCTATGATGCCACTGCTCCAGGAGATCTGCAGCTGAGGCCTGACTGTTCATCCCCAGCCCATCTGGACACAACAGACTGGAACAGGGAAGATGCTGGGGCCAGAGGTTGAGACCAGCAGGAAGGGAGCCTGGGGTTGCAATGAAAAAAAGACTAAAGCAATAACTGCCTCTTCATGCGGTCATGGCAGGGGTGGGGGTACAGGGAGGTGACCCTGGGGACACAGTTGTTCTCTGGAAATACGGAAGATAGGGAAGGAGAAAGTCTCGGGGCTAAGGGATATAGAAACTCTTTCTGGGGATAGGTGGACCCCACTTTCTGAGGTCAGAGATTTAGCCCTTCATTCTCAGCCTGAGGTGGAAAACAGGATGGGAAGCTAATCCTATGCAGACTTTCTGTTCTGAAGAGGAAAAGCAGAGAGCTTTAATCCACAGGGAAATGAAGGAGGGCCATGAGGGGGTAAAATTCAGCCAGACATACCCCGTAATCTTTCTCCCTTAGTCCAGAGCCACAGAGGATGGGAAGAGGACATGGGGGCCGATGGCAGAGGTGGGGCCTCAGACCACTGCCCTCAGCTGCCCCATAGCAGCTCCAGTTCTGAGAGGGCATGGTCCTGTCCCCCACTCTGCTCCTGGGACCTAGAGGTCACCCAGTGAGGTGGGCTCTGGAGAGGGGCCTAGTCTCTGGCCCTCAGGCACTGCCTCGGAGGTGGCAGCTGCTGTGGAGATGGACTCTGGGACAACCTCAGCCCACAGTAATGCTGAAGCCACAATGGAATCTGTTGCGCCAATGACTGAGGAAGGCCCCAAGGGCTAGGGTGACGGGTAGGGGGGGCATCTTCTTCTCCAGTACAGCACCCACGCACCAGTTACTATCCACCAACCCTGTAGGGAAAGAAATACAGACTAGGCTATTGAACAGAGCTTGAAGAAAGGAGTCAGCAGAAACAAGGTGAAGCTGCCAGATCCCTCACCCCTCCAAATGGCACCTCAATAACCCTCACCTCAGGCCTCCCTAGTGGCACAAGGTGTTAAGTCTCAGCACTATTAAGCTATCGGCAGCCACTGCAACATGAGTTCAATCCCCCAGCCAGGGAGTTGACCCACATGGTACAACAGACATCTCCTGTCTCACCTGCTGCTCCCCTCAGCAGTATATTTAAGTAGATCCACCTGTTCTGCTCCCCACTCTATCTCTGGTGAATCCTCTCACCCCCCACACCTCTGGCTTACACACCAGTTCTTGTATGCATAAATAAATAAATAAACCCTCACCTCTAAACACCATGTTGGCCTGGGGCAGAGTCAGGTGGTAGCCAAAAGAGAAGGTTGTGTCTTGTAACCTTGTATTTGCCTCAAACTCCACTCCAACCTGAACCTGAGAACCATGAGCAAGGAGGATAGATGGGTCATAGTAAAGGTTAGAGGGGTCCTGAAGGGTAGTCAGCGGAATGAAAGCATGCATGGAAACGTGTTGTATAGGAAGGAAGAGACTAGATCAGCAGGGCCTCACAGGTCTACAGGGAAACACATTCCTGGCCAACTTGCTGCAGTGGGCGATCTGGTTTGCGCTCTCACCTGTTCATTTGCCCTGTGGTAATAACTTGCATGGGCCCCACCTGATCCCACATTCAATGTAGCTACCCAGTGCACAGCTGTGAAAATCAAAGCACAGAGAACAGGAATGTTACATAGGAGGATTTAGGCCTAGACCCTCAGCCAGGTCCAGAACTTCCCTTGCCCTTCACTATTCCTTTTTACCCCATACCAGAGTACTTCCCCGCCAGAGTGAGGATGGCACCCTCTTCGCCTGGTCGCCGGTGGTAAACCAGCTCTCCTCCCAGCACCAGCCGATGAGTGAGGCTCTGCAGGAAGTGAGCGACCATGATCACTGTGGAGGAACAGAGAAAAATGGGGTCAGTCACAGAGAGTCCAGCCTGTCCTTCACTTCAGGAACCCCACCCCAGTATGCCCAAGAAGTTTCTCTTCTAATTCTGGAACTGGACAGACAACAAAGAGATCCCAACACCCTAAGCAAGTGGGCAGCCAGGATAAAAAGGCCTCTGCCCCAACTTCTCACCTGATTCCCCAATCAAGTCAGGATTTCCGAGGGTCAGGGTGGCTGTGTAGTCTTCTCCCCGGTACTCGCCGTCAAACTGCCAAGTCAGGAACTTGGCCTGCTGTGTCTAAGTGAGGAGAGTGAGGAGTAAAATATCCCTCCCTCTTTCCAATCACTATCCCCCTACACCCCAGGGTGGGGTACTCATACAGAAGAAAGGAAACTCTTTAGCACATATAGGCAGGAAGCACGGGGTACCTGGAAGACAGCCTTGGCTCGGAGCCGCTCTGCCAGGAGGAACAGGACCTGGGCGTTGAGGCTACCACTGCTGTCCATGTCCCCTACCACAGTCGGGAACACCTGTTGAAGAGCAGAGACAGTAGGAATGAACTGGGTGGCACCACTGGCCTAAATCCAAATAGAGAATTTCTTAACATCACCCAGCGCCCCCTAGTGGAGCCAGAACATAAACTCCTGGCTCCCGGCACAAGATGTTTCCTCATTCTCTCCCACTCAGAAAAGACACAGGAGCAGGTACCTGTCCCTTCTTGCCCAGAACATACACACTTTCTCCTCCTCTAGACCTAGGGCCTAGGTGGTCTTTAAGGAGATGACCCCGGTAGGTGCAGCCCTCACCTCAGTGGGGCTAAGTTGCCAGTCCCCTGCGTAGGCCGCATGGAGGTGATAGCCAGGCAAGCCAAGGGCACTCATGTGCACAGTGTGAGCCACCTGAGAAAAGAGCAGTCAATGATGGAGAGTGCATCCTGCTCCCCTTCAATCTCTAACCACCCTTCATCGTCTTCCTAGTTCCCATCCAGAAGGCCTTTTAAAAATCCCCAATATTCCAACAGAAAGAGAGGGTCACAAGATGAAAAGCAACAAGTCCCACAGATAAGGGAAGTAAATAGAGTCCCACATCCTCCCTCATTTGTCCCATAGAGCCTGGCTAAGGTTGGAGTATAAAGGAAAGGAGAAAAGGATCCAGGGACAGGCGGGGAAGAATAGTAAAGGGGGGCCAGAGAAGTGGGAGCACCTGGAAATGGCTGCTCAGAACCTTGTTGACAACGAGCTTCACTCCCTCCATCTGTGCTGGGAATACATCTGAAGGGAGCAGGGGGAGGAGGGAAGGAGTAAGCATAGACAAGGAACCCTTACCCGAGGAGTCTTTCCTTTTAATCCCATAGAAAGTGCTTTGGAGGAACTGACCTCCTTTCAAGTCTGCAAGGAAATGCCCCACTTCATTCCAGCACCTGCTCCTCTCTGTAGGCTAGATGCTGAGCTGTGATCTCCCCCTTCCTACTCCCATCACTGGACACCAGCCTTCCAGATCACCATCCCCCACCCGCTTCTACCTCTTCAACTTGAGACTTCCAAATGCCAAGTTCCCACCTTTGCATAGCCGGTGCAGCTCATCGAAGCTTCCAGGGTTGGGCAGAGGTTCCTCTCGACGGGGGCTCCGGCGATGCAAGGCCCCCATCGGTGCCAGGCCTAACGTGTTCCCCATTTCAGTCCAGGGAACGGGAAAGGGGCCGCGGCTAGCTTGGGAATGGGAGCTTTGCTCCTTCTAGCTCCCACGGACCCCACCCCCCATCAGCCAGATCCCTAGTCCCAGAAACTTCCGCATGGTCCGAGGGTAGACCTGCAACAGGAAAAGTGTGGGGAAAGAGCACTCTCATAACCAGTGAGAAGAACGAAACCCAGGTACGATCCTGTCCCATCCCGGATCCCTCTCCCTTACCTGTCACCCCGTCCCCTCCCCCACGCTCTAACTCTAGCCCCCAACACAGACCTCACCCAGCCCCCTACTTTCTCCTCTTAATTCCTAGGCTACAAGATGAGGCTTGCGATGCAGCGGTAGCCCTTACCGTCTCAGACCACTGTGCTGCCCCTTTTCCCCCGGCACTCCCCGGTCATCTTGATGGGGGCAGCCATCTTGAGTAATGGCAGGACTGCGACTTCACGATGCATTTTCAGCGTGGCCATGAGCGCCATCTTGGAAAAGGGCAAAAAGAGAGCTCAAAGACAAGAGCCTCCCCTGATTGGGCCCCGCCCAATCAATTAACAAAAAAGCCTCCAGGTCTCCCGGGGACCAATGGGCGAACAGGAAGCAAAGGAGTGGCAGGCCTACCATCTAGAGCGCTCCGAGCCCGACTCTGCAGAGGCAGGCGGGCCTGCTGTAATTCCTGTACTCAAGCCTATGGCCCTAAGCGCTCCAAGGTCGGAGACCTGTGGTGTGCGGACACTAGGGGGAGCACCTGGCAGCCTGAACCCGTGAGGCTCCCCGCAACAGAGAGCTTAGGGGCTCATTCTGTGAAGAGTGGTGAAGGGAAGACTCGAAACACTGCTTAGAAACCCATGTTCGTGTGACTTGTGGCCCCCAACACCACCCACGAACTCCTGGGGATCCACCTCACAGCGCCCTCACAGTCCTCCTCCAAATGAGGAGGAGAGCGCAGCTCTTCTGAAACATGCACTCACACCTCCCTCCTGGAGTCTACACCTCAGACGTCATGCCTTGACCTCTTGGTGGAATAGGAATGGGTGTGGGAGTTTAGGTGAAAGCAGGGCCTGCAGCCTTAGTTGTGGTAGAACCATTCCCTGAAAGAGTTGTCTGCCTGTAGTTAATCCTTCCTTTCTGATTCCCCACGCAGAGTTGGCCAAAAAAGCTAGGAATATGGACTTCCACCTGCAAATGGAAGGGCCGGGGCAAGTCAGTAGAGAACAACCCAAGTGCCAGCTACTGGGTAGGGGAACACTAAAGAGATATTTTGGGTCTGGTCACTAGGCCTCTCTAGCTCTCATAACTCTCCCTCCCTCAGGAATTCTGAGGGCAAGAGAAACTGCTTCTAATAGCTATTAACTCATTTCACCTGGAGACCTCCAGTCCTTGGAATATAGCTCTGCCTTGCTCACCATCAGCTGGGATGAGGACTAGGGCCTTGGTCTGAGAGAGATGCCGTGGCCCCTGCTAACGCATACTGGCTGACCACCACCTAGACCCTAGAAGACCAGTGACCTTCAACTTTTATATTGATAGAAGACTCTCATTCCCTTCTTTCTCTGCCAGAGCCCTCCAGCTGGGAGGGGGAGGGCAGCCTACTTTCTGAATTTGTTTTACTGGGGGTAGAGTGTGCTCATTGGTTAGTTTCCTGGAGGGTCATGTTTTCTCCCCCATCTCATTACACATTAACTCAAAGAAGGACAGAGTCTGTCACATCTGCCCTCTGACCCTACCTTTCATTCCCTTCCCCCTACCTCTGATTTCAGCTCCTTTCTCCTTTCTTCTGTTCCCCAATGTCTCTCTGACAAGTTGCAGAGAAGGCAGGTAGGGTTGGAGAGATGAAAAATACCTATAAATGGTCAAAGTTACAAAGGGCTGGGGACTTCATGTCAGACCTTCTCTGAGAAAAACTAGGGCTCCTGCTTTCTGTAGCATTCTGCCCCCAAGGACTACTACCCCAGACTCCAATAGAAAGCAGAATGCATCTCCGATAGGGTGGAAGTCACTTCTCTTAAGATCTGTGCCCTTTGTTCCACCCCACCTCCCTATCACCAGAAGGCCTCCATGTGCTTGTCCTCTCCTCCCCTATTTCTCCAACTTGTTTACTCCAACATGGCCTCTGCCCCACTGGACACCTCCACTGTTCTTGTCGCCTGACAGTGGGTGGGGAAGCAAACAGGTATATAACCCCTGACTCCTAGTCAGGACACGCACAGCCAGCAAGGACAGACATTGCCTTGGTAAGGTGAGATAGCAAGAGGTATGGGCAGCATCCAAAGAAGACTAGGTTTTAATGGTGGGAAGGGAGGAAACTGCTTTGGAGTGGGCCCCTGGGTAATGAGATCCCCAGGGAGGGGCTGAAGTCCCTCAGCTTCAGTGTCCTCCCCTGTCTCCAACTGTTCCCAGGCCATCTTCCCCTCCATCACCACCATGAAGCTGCTTGCTTTAACTGTGCTGCTCGTCACCATTTGTAGCCTTGAAGGTGAGTATGATATGGAAAAGAGATCCCCAGGAGGAGGAGGTGCCAGGGGTCTGAACTATCCATCTGTCTGTGTTCCTATGCCCAGTCTGGCAACCAGAGGGCTCAAAAAGGAGAACTTTCCCCCTTAAGACCCAAAAAGCCCATCCAAAGTCCTGGAACTAGATACTAGTTTGGGGAGGGGGCTGAGTACTGGGTACTGGCCAGTACTGGTACTTTGCCAGTACTGGATACTGGCAAAGGTGTGCAGGAGGCCAGGACTCGTTGTTTGAGGCCTAGCTGAGGGTGTGTTTCTGTGTGTGCATACTTGCAGGGGCATTGGTACGGAGACAGGCAGAAGAGCCAAGTCTGCAGGGGCTGTTTTATCAGTACTTCCAGACTGTGACTGACTATACCAAGGATTTAATGGAGAAGGCCAAGGCCCAGGATTTTCCGGCTCAGGCGAAGTAAGTCTCTGGGAAAGTGGTTTAGGGACTGTGGGCCATGGCACAAAAGAAAGGAAGATGGGACACCCAAAGGTGGCTGGGCTCAGGCTAAGGCAGTAGGGAGGATTAGCTTTAAATTGAGAGAAAATTTCCTTCCTCACCATGTGATCCCATGGCCTCTTGGACAGTCAGGGCAGCAGGAACTGGGCTTTAATGTCACTCTGGGGTCTGCTCCTCTGCCCTGTGGAGGCCTTGCTTTTCCTCCTAGGGCTTTGCCATGGCAGGATGGACCAGGCACTAGAGTTTGGGATCCTGGGTCAGACTGCCCACCAGCAGTGAGACACTGCCAGGGCCTCAGGTGCCTGATAGTGACCTGTAATCCCTCATAATTCCAGCGCCTACTTTGAGAAGACTCAGGAGCAGCTGACACCCCTGATCAAGAAGGCGGAAACAGGCCTGTTTAACCTCTTTAGCAGTTTCATAGGACCCAAAACAGAGCCTGCTGCCAAGTGAGGTATAGGGGCCATTTTCCTGCATCCCAGCTGGCCCCTAGAACACTCTCGGCCAAGTCTGGAGCCCTTTGCCCCACTCTCTGCTTGTTTTCTATAATAAATATAGGAGTCAAGTTGTAAGTCTGGTGTGTTTGGGTACTGGGAACTGTGGGGAGCAAGGAATAGGAGGAAGGACCAAGAAAAATATGCTTTTAATAAGAGAGGATTTGGGTGTGCAGGGATAGAGAGTGTTGGAGAAACAGGTGCTAAAAATGACAGGGTAGGGGTGCTAGTGATTTATCTCCAAACCAAAGGACTCTTCCCATAGGCCAGAGGAGTTCTGCAGTGGAGACTAAAGAGTATTTGATTGAACATATTCTGTGGAAGAAACTGAATCCCTAGGTTCCTAGGGAATCACGGGAAATGAAGGCACCCCTCAGAATTTGCTCCTGATCATCCTGTGATCTATCTAACCCTACTACCAAAATCTCTTACCCAACCCCCTGTCTGGGGACACCACCCAAAGTTTCTTCCCTACACTATTTATAGGTCTGGGCTGGGAGCCAGCTCAGAGCCTAGAACTAGTAGCTGTCATAGCAAAGACTGGCTAGGTGGTTCCACAGAAATTTGGGGAACTGTAATAAGTCAAGATGGGATGGAAATAAGGCTGGTTGATGAGGAAAGACATAATCCCAAACCATAGGGCAAGGGAAAATGAGGCAATTTCCATAAAAACTTGTCACACTTTCAAAGTTACTTTCCCTGACTCACCTCTCATCTGAAACCCCCTCTTCCCCAGATAACTGCAGTAGTTCCAATTTCTTTATCTATCAACCAATCTCTTCTGTCTGACCATGAGTTCCTCACTGCTCATGATTACCTTGCTCCCTTTTCTTCCCCAGACTCTATTTTTCACTCATGTAACAAAATATCTAGGGATAAAAGATCTCAGTCTGTCACTGGCAAAGTGGTTTTTGGGTAGGTTTAATTTAAGTTAAATTAATTAATTTCAAAGAGCTTGTGTTTCCTCATGGATTAGTGAGTGGATGGAATGGTTATGCACCGAAACATGTAGTCAAGATGCTGTGGGAAGTATTGCCCAGCACAGAAGTTCAGGTGAAAGCCTGGGATTCAAAATCCACTCTGACAGGGCTCCTGGTTCAGAGATTGGGCAGGCAACTTCTGTTGGGGGTCACATATTGCCAGGGGATCCTACTTCCTGGTGGAACTGAGAATAGGGCCCACACAGACAAGGGGAATGGTGGGGATCCCTTAAACTCACCCTGTGCTCCTAGGAGCTGCCCTCTCATCTGGACCTGCCCAATGCACTCCTTTGCTTAACCCAACATGCCCATTACCTCTAAGGTCCCTCTTGCCCCAGAATCACTGATAACTCAATGTTCCTCATAAAACCTCCCAATAGGTGGGCCTCCCCTGGTGGCGCAGCAGTTGAGCGTGGGGTTGCAAGGCTGCCCCCAGCCTCTGCAGCACCAGTTCGATCCCCAGCCACCGGCGAGAGTCCCACAAAAAAAAAAACAACCTTCCGATAGGGCATCATACCCTCCCCTCTGCCCATTAGACTTCCAGCTGAGCTAATGCTTGTGCATTGCAAGCTGTCCCCACACTTTCCTGGAAGCCTCTCTGATCCACTTTGGTGATTATTTAGGGTTGGACACTTGGGCTCCCCCACAACCCAAGAGTGATTCAATTTGCAAACACAGAAGGCCAGGCTGGGTACAGAGGTCACTTATTAGGTTTGAATAACACTGGATGCACCTAGACTCCTATCCAATTCCATGTTAGAAAATGAGGGGTCAAGGGCCATTCTTTCCCCAGGCACAGTATTCATCCCATACCGCACTGAGAAAAACAGTCCTGAAATCTAAAGACTGTGAACGCTGTAAGGTCAGGAGTGGTGTCTGCCTTACCCAGATTGGTACCTTCAATCGTCAGCCTGGTGTCTGGTGCAAGCAGAATCAATATGTGAGAAATGATTGAAGGAGCAGAGCCCAGTCCATGGCAGTTTATTGGTGGCACTTCCTTTCCATTGTTAGTGGGGTTGAGGATGGGGAAGAGGAGAGGGCTGGGGTCAAAGAGTGAGACTAGAATATAACATTAACAAATAGCATCTGAACAGAAGTTGTTAATGGAAGGAGCCACTGGTGTCCATTAACCAGGGGCAGAGCATCATCACAGGGATAGGGCCAGTGGCATTAAGGGTGTAAAGGCATCTGTGATGCCAACCATGTGGGCTGGGAAGAGGACCAGGATCAGAAGGATGGGACTGAGGGTGTCTGTCCTAAAGTCATTGTGGTGGTTTATCATGCTTCAGAGTCTCGTAAGTCTCCTGATTCCGGGTGCTCAGGCCCTGGAGGTGAAGGTCAGAGAACAATCAGGAGCCTGAAGCTATCACAGGGACCCCATCAACCCCTGCAGACGCTATCTCTTCCAAAGTTCACTGGAAATGCCACCCTCCTGCATTAACTTCCTGGAACTGGGGTGGGTGAGTGAGGAGGGTTTACTTACCGTGTAAATGCCATCTGATTTCTGGGGAGGAAAAAGAGTAAACATTAGAGACCTACCCTCCTTCAGCACCCCAGCATCTTCCCCACCCAGGGGTGGCTGGCTCCCTTGAGTAGCGAAGAATATTTGGACTTTCTGGGGCATGGATACATATTTGCGCACAGGGCTAAACACCCCCCCCCCCCCCAACACACCATACAACTCTCATATACTCATTGTACTGGGCTCTTCCTTGCCACCTGCTGAATATTTTACTTGTGACTCAGCTGGGTGGCAGGGTGGGGAGGGGAGTATGGAGGGAGCCTCTGACGCTTACGCAGTTCAGCACCAAAGAATCATCCCTCTCAGAAGCCATAGGCCACATGGCTAAAGCCCCAGAAGGGCTGAGTTTGAAAATTTGTTGACACCCAGGTTGGGGGGAAGGGAGGCCTGGTCTATACCTCAAATCTGACGGCAGTTGCCTTCCGAACCTGGATCTGAGGAGGGTAAAAGTCATTAGTAACGGTGAAGTCAGTGACCCACCCCCTTCCTCCAAAAGAGGAAACCCCCTCCTTTTATTCCCTCTCCTGAATCCAGGCTGCCACAACCCTCCCACTTCTGACCTCACCAGAGTCTGCTCACCCCTGTGCCCCTTGCCTTACCTTGAGTCGACAGTAGAGCAGGGTGAGGATGATGCCGTACAGAAACAGGATTGCATCCAGGATGTAGCAGAGCTGAGGCTCTCCCAGGGCCTCTGAGAACAGAGGTGCCCATGGGGTCAGGGGTCAAGGTATAATTGGTTCTCAGAGGAGAGGGAAGGGGGATGGGGCTCCAAGAAGTAGCTCAAGGCCTGGAGAAACCTTCCAGAGAAGGAATTAGGTCTCTCCCTCCCCCTAGGTTGGGGTGGTGAGGAAGCATGAGGGGTTCTGTTCCATGGAACTTCTATTGCAGCAGCCCCCAGCCTCTCTCTATAGCACTGCGGTTCCTCAGGTATATTGAGTGTGCACAGCTCTCAGGGGATTCATTCGAGTTCACTGGACTAAGACCACAACCTCAGCCCAAAGGGGAGGGGGAGGGGAGGCAGTGATGAACTTCAGCGCAGAAACCACAGGGGTGCCTCTGCTGAGTCCTGTGACCTGTGGCTGAGGGCCGGACAGGAAGGATGTGCGTTGGGGAAGGGAGAGAAAGCAATTACTCCAGCATTGGTCATTATCTGACCTTGGACTTCTCGCTGGGTCCCACCACCCAACACTTATAACAAAGGGGCTGCTTTCCTAGACCTTAAACATTAAGGATTATGCCCACAGCCTGGGCCAACACCTTAGCCCCCTGCTTCTGAGAGAGGAAGTCTTGTGCAACTAAAAAAATCAGGGGGTCTGCTCTCCTATCTGCTCAGGCTCCTATCAGAAGGGCTCAGGGCGCATGTGACCAGTGAGATAAAGCACTTTTTATTCTCTGAAACTCTTTCCCTAAAAAATTCTGCACAAATCTCAAAACCACCCTGTGAGGTAAACATCATCACTAACCTACAAATGACAAAACCAAGACTTGGAAAAGCTAAGTAACTTGTTTTCCGTTAAGTAGCAGGCTGCTAGCAAAGCCAGTATATTTTGTTAGCTCTGAGTCCCAGCACCGCCTCAGCTCATGGCAGGAGTAAATCCCTCCCACCAGTCGCTGCTGGCCACACAAAGGCTCATGTCTTCTTTCCATTTCCCCAGTTTCATGAGCCCCCTTCACCCCAACAGCAGCTGCAACCCTCCCTCTTCAAAGCACATCCCCTCCCAGTAAAGAGGAGCCAGAGTAAGAAGTGAATTCGTCATGATAGGCCTTAGAGCCGCTGCCACCTCCCCATTTCTGCTTCTATTCCTAGAAATGCCCAGGCTTTAGAACTGGGCCCTTGGTGCTGCCCCACCTCAGGCCAACTGCTAACAGAATGTGGTTCAAAGGTGCCTAGTACTGACCCCAGAGGCAGCAACTGGGTTTTTCATTTCTATGCGCTGTCTTCCCCCTCCCCCCAAGCACATGGACAGATAGCGGCCTTCCTAAAGGGGCTGTAGAAACGTGATTAACCAGCTAGAGACCAACTCCCAACCAGCTCTCCAGGTGAGTTGAGCATGGAAAGTGGAAGCTTGCCCCAAACCAGCTTTTTTGAGCCATAGAACCACACTCCCCTCCCCTGCCCAACGGAAGTATCAATCCTAAAAAAGTGAAGAGGACAAGAAAGGTGGGGACAGGCTTGTGCCCTGAGGGGGACTGGAGAGAACCAGCCCCAGGGTGAGTGCCCATCTGCCCATTGTCGACCTTCTGCTGGTCTGCCTTGGCCCCTAGACCCGAATCTTCCTTCCCACCCTAGAAGTCCTGCTCGCTGTCCTCATCAAACCCTCTCACCTGCTTGTTCAACCAGGAGAAATAAGAGCAAGGCCACTGCAGGAATCATCTTGGGCAGGGGGCCGAAGGGCCAGAGCCGGGCAGACACTGACAGCACTGCGCAGCTGTCTCAGCCGAGGCTCCCTGACCACAGAGTTCCCCCCTTCCTGCCACGCCTTCCCCCAGCTTTGGCCCCTTCCCCTTCCTGCATTCGAGGCCGGGCGGCGCCCGGAAGGGCCAACCAAGAGAGCTAGGAGAGCTGGGCACTTACGCCCGAGTCCCAGGGTGGCCAAGCCCGACTTCCATGCCCCGTGGAAACTCCCACCCCAGGAAGGGCTGTCGAGGCCCGCCCTCTCACACCACCGTTATGAGCTACATGCTGACACATTGCCACTCGAAGTTCCTGAAGACCCTCCATTGCTTTTTCAAGCCACCTGGACTCTGGCCCCTGTCTTGACCAAGGGGTTTACCAAATTGTGTGGGCAACGAGGTTAGTGGGGGAAGTTGAGGGGGGAAAAGAGGAAATGGGGAATGGAGAAGTGGAAAGGACAAGAGTCAGAGAAGGGGCGGAGATGAGCAGGAAAAATTGCTATGAACTGAGTTTAACAGAGAAGTGGAAAGTTAACAAACACTCAAGAGTCCCCTCAAAGTGAAAGACAACAAGACAGCAGAAATTGGGGCCGAGGGGCCGCAGGGCGGCTAATTTATTGTAAGTTCTCCTTTCCTAAGTACATGCTCAGAAAGCCTGACAGCCAGGTGCTCATGTACATGCACACACACATCCACACACGTCCCATCCGAATGTTGACACACTCCATGAAGGGAAATGATTAGCAAGGAGGTCAAATGCCGCTCGCCTGCTCACCGATCTACTTCTCCAAACACGATGTCTTGGGTGCCTAGGAGGTCAGGGGGGAGGAGGAAAAAAGTGTATTATAAAGGATCCAGAACCCATTACCATGCCCGAGAGAGTGGGGATTTGAGTCCATGCTCACAGTCTCTGTGGTACAGGACATGTTCTGTTTCTGTCCCCAGGCAAAGCCCCTTGCCTAGGACATCCCTACCATGGAATAGCTGCGTACCTATGATGGCAACAACGTCAGCCAACATGTGTCCTTTAGACATCTTGTCCAAACCAGCCTGCAGAAATGGAAATAGAACAAGTTAGGAAGGGAAGAAAGTTTATAAAAATTGTGACTAAGGTCAATAATGACTGGATTCATTTGTTTCAGTCAGGATTCTAACTGAGGTTGTTTCTTACCAAGTGGGCAAAACCAGGAGCCTTGATCTTGCATCGGTAAGGGCGGCTGCTGCCGTCAGACACTAGGTACACTCCAAACTCTCCCTGTCCGAGGAAGAAGTTGGCAGCCTCCATTAACAGGAAGAACAAAACCTCCCTATTCACCCTCACATCCTCCTTCACCAATGAATGAGCATTCACTTAACATCTATCTTGGTCACTTCCCCACACACTGCCCTTCCCTCCCGCTTCTCCGCTCACCTTAGGCGCCTCAATAGCAGTGTATGTGGCCCCTGGAGGAACTTGGTAACCCTCAGTATACAACTTGAAGTGATGTATCAGTGACTCCATAGATGTCTGAAAAGAGGAAGAAGGGAGCATCATTGAGCCAGACCCAAACGGTCTTCCCCAGCAAAAAAATGGTCTCTACTCTCAGGGAGACTGAAATCCACATGCAAGTCAGAGAGCAAAGGAGATGCAGGATAAGAAAGGAGGCTGTAGAAGGTTAAGAATCTATACAATGAACTATTTGAAAAAGGAAAACTGAAAAATACAGTGGAATTCAAGGTATTTCTCCTGGCAGCAGGCTCCTTCCCAGACCATTCCCTCCCCTGCAGATGACCTTCATCTCTGCGCGCTTAGGTGGAGACACTTTGGCATCATCAACTTTGATCTCCCCAGGAGGCATCTTGTTTAGACACTGAGAGATGATTCGAAGGGACTGGCGCATCTCCTCCACCCGACACAGGTACCTAAAGTAGATGAAACAGGAAGACAGGAGAAAGCAGAAGAGTATAGCACACAGGGCTGGGCAGGACAAGGGGCTGACCTGAGGCATGCCTGGTGAACAGCCCTCACTCCCTCTCCCATGCAGCGCGTCTCTCTGCCAGGCCACCAAGGAGAGCCTGCAACTTTCTGACTGTCGTCTTGGATCCTTCCCCAAATCCTATCCTACTTTTTCCAGACCATGCCTGACAGTATTTCCCTATTCGCTTACCCTTTGAAATACTTTTTGGACTACAGAACATCAAATAAACTCAAAAAGGAAACAAGAGCAACTCTTAGAGTCAGTAAACAGGAATGGAATTTGAAGCTTAGAATCTAGCAAAAAGAGCAATGATCAAGATTCTAGTCCCATCCTGAGCTAATCTCTTTTTTTTTTTAAATAGAGGCATGTTTTATTTATTTATTTGTTTGTTTGTTTTGTTTATACATGCACTGGGTACAGTCAGAAGCGCGGGAGGGTGAGAGAATTCACCAGAGCCAGAGCGGGGAGCAGAGCAGGCAGAAGGACCGAAGTACACTGCTGAGGGGAGCAGCGGGCGGCAGGAGAGGTCTGCGCGCCATGTGGGACCCTCCTCCGGTGGCTGGGGAGCAGCCAGGGATTGAAACAGCGCCGCAGAGGCCGCGGGCAGCTTCGCAACCCAGCGCTCTACCGCTGCACCACCGGGGAGGCCCCTGAGCTAATCTCTTTTTAAAATAAGAGAAGTAAAACACTTTATTGGTTTCTCAGTAAGTTTAAATCCTTTAGGGGTATATCATCACATAGATTCTGTGTCCTATGGTCTTTTTTTTGTTTTGCTTTTTTCTTTTTTTTTGGTCCTATGGTCTTAATAGGAAGGCTGCTTCAGGGCTTCCCTGGGGGCCTAGGGGTTAAGCCTCAGCACGATCATCACTACGCCTGAGTTTGATCCCCGGCCAGGGAGCTGACCCACACATGGTGCAGCCGACCTCACCTGTCTTGCCAGCTTTCCCCTTATCAGTGTATTTCAGTGAATCTGCCTGTTCTGCTTCCCACTCCGTCTCTCTGGTGAATCCTATCTCCCCTGTTCCCCCTCCCACACACACACCCCTCTGGCCTACACTCCAGTTCGTCTACAAAATAAATATTTTTTAAAATATATATAAAAAAAAAAAGGAAGGCTGCTTCAGAACTTGACACAAACCATGCCACTGTCACCATGGCACATGTGTCATCTTCTCTCAAATGAATCTAGTTTCATTCCATTTACCACCAGGAGTCACTGTGTATTTCTTTGCTCTGTACACATAAGCACATCTCTGGCCTAGAGAGAATCCAATTTCACCTTGAGCATAAACACCTTCAGTTTTAAGAATTGCGTGTTCCCTCTGGTTCTGAAGTAGCCAGCAAAAACGGCCTTGGACCAGTCTTCTAGGCATATTTTAAAAGTCCCATGCCCAACAGGCCTCCACAGGATCCAAGAGGGCAGAAAGAGCTAATACCTAACTTTTATCCTCAGTTTTCAAAATCAACTGTAAAATGCACTCAAAATGAATTCGATTTAGGACACAGGGATGATGTAGGATAAAGCAAAGTGTCACCTAAGTAAAGTGCTTTGAAAGCAACCTAGTTTATCATATACAAGAGCCCTAGTAGATACTGACAAGTATGGTAAAGATGCAGGCAGCCAAGAGAAAAGGTAGGGAAACTAGCTGGACAGCGAGCTAAGCAAGGTCTTACCTATCGTAGCAGTCTCCTCGAGAGCCAATAGGAACGTCAAACTCCACCTGGTCATAAACATCATAGGGCTGGGTCTTCCGCAGGTCCCACTGGATGCCAGAGCCCCGGAGCATCACCCCGCTGGGGAGTGTGTAATAGAAATGAGGGTCCTTCCCACAAACCAAGAGCGGCACACTCTCCCCGTCAACCTCCCCTTTCCTTTCCCTACACTGCCAGCACAGGTTCAAACTCAGAGCATGGCAAGGAAGGTGCCACAGTCCTGAAGCCAATATGTGAGGCCTGAGATCCCCCCACCCTGAGGAGAGAAGTCTGATTCCTCCCACCTAAAACCATAGTTCAGCGCATCTTCTGCTGTCACAACCCCAATGTCCACTGTCCGATTTCGCCAGATCCTGTTGTTGGTCAGCATCTGTGAACCAAGAAAACTGGCGTGTAAACACTCCTCACAACAGCGTTCGAACCCCTCATATTTCTTTACAGCTGGGAACATAACCCCACAAGTCCTTCTTAGGGGAAGAGAGGGACTACTCCCGACTCTTACCTCCTCCACCTCATCAATCCGAAGAGAGAAGTTCTTAGAAAATTCGTAAATGTCATCCATCAGTCCCAGGGGTAGGTCCTACAGTCAAATGCACAGTGATCACTGAGTCCAGCAGAGCCCGCACTGAAGAGAAGAGGTTCAGCCTCCCACCCAGGGCTCTAGGATCAGCAGTCCCATCAGCCAGTGCTGCCCCCCAGTGGCCACCAGGAACCCACAGGCGTGGACTCTTGGGAGGCGGGAGGCAGAGCCTGCTCACCTGGTGCACGCCTCCTGGCCTGACGTAGGCAGCATGCATCCGTGCCCCAGATACTCGCTCGTAGAACTCAAACATCTTGATAGGACACACTGGGAATTAGTGACAAAGCCCTGGGCCCCTAAGTCCAACAACATGGTGGCCCACTCTCCTACCCCCTTCTTGTGCTCAACCAACTCCTCCTGACAACATTCCTTAAGAATAAAACCTAGGTTAAATACACCTTCTTCCCTAAGTGTTCTCCCTGTTCTCTCCGAATTATCTGTTTCCTTCATGCCTTCTCTACTTCCTGTGCTTCCTTCTCTCTTCCTAGACTTCCCTCCTCCTCATACCTTCTCCCTTTCTTCAAACATCCAGAAGAAAGGAGTCATGGCCCCAATGTCCAGAGCATGTGTGGTCACAGCCATGATGTGGTTCAAGAGTCGTGTGATTTCTCCAAACAGCACTGTAGAGAGGTGCGGAGAAGAGAGATAGAAATAGGCACCAAAAAGCTAGGCTGATAGAGCATCTCTGGGCATAGCCTGGGGTCTACATGCCAGGCTTGGGTTCAATGCTGCTAAGGTAGTGGTGGTGGTGGTGCACGGGGGGATAATGCTATACTTGCAGTGGCCGCAGAGGAAGGGTGGATGTACCTCGAATCCACTGGGCCCGGGGCGGAGGCTGGATGTTGAGTAGCTTCTCCACGGCCAATGAATAGGCCTGCTCGTTACACATCATAGACACGTAGTCCAGTCGGTCAAAGTAGGGAAGGGCCTGGGCAGAAGGGGAAGTCTGGTCACATCTAATAGGCTGAGGAGCCTTGGTGCAGCTGCCAGAAGCACTGCTCTCTGTGGACATCAGAAGTCGGTGTGCATAAGAGAAGTCTCAGAAGCCCCTAAGAGGCAGGATGAAACACCCCAATATTCAGTGGTATATTGGGAGATGTTTAAAAACTGGCTCTCTGAAGGGGTAGGAGGACCGTGATTTGTCATTTTTGAACTTCCTCAGTGAAATACCCCTACCAGGGCCAATTTTAAGCTCCCAACATTATATAACTGAACACAGCCAAGGGGAGAGTGGCAGAGCATACACCGTATTTTCACCACACAGATAAAATAAAGTAAATGCCTCAAGAGTGTAGCATAGCATGCTCCCCTCAGCAGTGTATTTCAGTCAATCTGCCTGTTCTGTTCCCTACTCTGTCTCTGGTGAATCCTCTCACCGACCCCCACATCTCTGGCCTGTACCCCAGCTCTTATATGCCTTAATAAATCTTAAAAAAAAAAAAAAAGTGTAGCATGGCAAAGAGTAGTGAGAAAAGGATGGAATAAATTCTGAATACTTCTTTGCTTTGTTTTTAATATAATATTTAATCATAAGTGGTTATCATTCAATTTTCAATAATGGTGATGTTTAACAACTGGCTCACAGAATTCCTGGGAATTTAACATCTGTTCTGGTGAGCAATCCCTGATTCCAGTGACACCTCTGTCAAAGATCTGTGCTTCTCTGAGATGTTGAGAAAGAAGGGTGTGATCAGTCTTAGAAATGCCTGGAAGTGAGGGATATAGGAAGACAGAGCCCAAGAAGGATGGGCTTGGTTTCTGGTAGGAATGTTGGGTAGAAACAGTTGCCAAGAAAGTGATGTCTAATCTGTCTGTTGCTGAACAGCTTCAGTTTCCAGGAAGGAGGCGGAGCCAAGAGGCCCTGTTTGGGACAGCCAGTTCTTGCCCTGATGTCACTGTGACGTAGATAAAGCTGCAGGGTTAACTGCACTGACTCTGGGACCAGAAAGCCCCAGTGCCTCTCAGAGAAATCACATTCTAGTCAGCATCATCTCCTATGAAAATCTTTCTTCATAAGGGAAAACCAGATTCCTATCCCAGATCCAATTCCTTCAAATCTGACCCTCATCACTTGGGTCATGCAGTTCCCCCAGAAATGACAAACTCTCACAAACCCTCCAGGTCACACTGACTCATCAAGTGTTTTGAAAACAGACTTAAAACAGCTAGAAGATACAAAAATCAGCTGTGAATCCTAGGAGTTAACGTCTTTCTCCTCTCCCTGACACCAGGGACACCAACTTTGACGTATTAGTATGTTCTAAGAACAGAGAAACTGAGGCACTAGAGTAAGGGTAAAGAGGGCAGCCAAAAGGCAGCCAGTGAAGAGCCGCAAGTGCAGTTCCAGCTCCAAAGCATTTCTGTAGACAAACCAAATCCAGATGACAATATCCCCAACCACGACTTCCATAATCTCCTCCCCTGGGTTTGTTTTTTTTTATGCTATGCATACAAGAACTGAGGTATAGACCAGAGGTACAGGGGAGGGGGGATAGAGGACTCACCAGAGACAGAGTGGGGAGCAGAACAGGTGGATCTACTGAAATACACTGCTGAGGGGAGCAGCAGGCCAGACAGGAGAGGTCTGCTGCACTATGTGGGTCAGCTCTCTGGGCGGGGATCGAACTCATGCTGCAGTGGCTTCCAATAGCTTGACAGCACTGAGACTTAACCCCCTGTGCCACCAGGAAGGCTCTCCCCTGGAGTTTTGGGGGCAGTAAACCAGCAAAATACCAGGCTAAAGCATCCTGAGGTCCTGTCAAATGTGCAGCCCTCACCTGTAGGTAGGTCTTGTACTCAATGAGCTTCTCCGTGCCCCGGTGTAGCAGCCCAATGTGTGGATCACACTTGCGCACCATCTCCCCACTCAGTTCCATCACCAGGCGTAGAACTCCGTGGGCTGCTGGGTGCTGGGGCCCAAAGTTCAGGGTCAGGTTTGACACCAATGTGTCCTTTGGAGGGTCCACATCTGAGAAGTGAGAAATACTTCAGAGCCAAATGGTAATTCTCTTGGGAAGCCCCAAGAGAGGGCAAGGAGTCATCCTCTCTCCATGGATCCTGCTTGTCACCATTTCATGCCTTAATTCCCTAATCTCTCACACAACCAGTAAGAGGACCGTGAGAGGGAAAGAGGGGATGTAAACTTCCTGATGAGAAGGACTTTGTGCCGCTCTCATTCCATGTTTCCCAGGATACCTTAGTGATAACACTAATAACAATAACTTATAGAGTCCTTACTATGGGCCAGGCAACTACTCTAAGCATCTTATTTATTTTCATTAATTTAGTTGTCACAACCATGTGAGTAGTGGATATTATTATCATCCTCACGTTATTGGAGAAACTGAAACCAGAGAGGGAAAATGACTTTTCACAGTGCTAGTCAATGGCAGAGCCAGCATGTTACCCGCCTATTCAACTCCAGGCTCCACTATGATACACCGCCCTTCAAATGTTTCTGATAAATGGTCAACCAATCATGAAATGTATCCCTAATTCTTACTGCTGAAGGACAATTCCGACCCTAAGAAACTTACAATTTGTTTTGGTCAGTAAGTACATGTGAGAAACGAGTAACTCTGGTGAAGCTTACAAATTACCAAGAAAGTGGCGTAGCCATTAAGTATTCAAAGCAGGGAGAGACCACCATGAAGACTACGTGGAAGTAGGATCTGTTTCGATAACACTTTGGAGGGCTCACCATATGCCAGTCACACATTAAGTATTATCTTACTTAATCATCACAATAATACTATGAAGGAGGTAATTTATTCACTGGTAAATGGTAAATAGAAATTTTTTAAAAAATTATTTTATATATTTTTTACATCATTCTTCATTTTTATACAATGTATGCTTTATCATCTTGGGTATAGTCCCTGTGGAATTCGCACCACCAATTCACCCATGTACCATCACCATAGTCCCCTGTAACAAGCTCTTCCCATCCATTTCGATGCAACTCTCTCCTCCCCCCTGCAGAATGTCTCTAGTTTATAGTTGCCTGTTGATTTTGATTTTTTCCTTATTATAATTGCTTTTTTTTTTTTTCCTGATCCCTTATTGGGATCCCCTACAATCCTCCTATAAGTGAAACCATCTGGTATTTCTTTTTGAAAATTGAGATTTAAAACCACATGCTACCTTTGCAGCTCAAATCCTTCATCATGGGCTTTGGAGTCAGAGGGACCCAAATCTGTCATTCAGACACATTGTGTATCCTCAATCAAGTTTTAATATCCCTGCACCATAATATCCTCAAATTTGGGCTAACACTAGGATTACTTTCATAGGGTTGTTTTGAAATAATGCAAATTAAATACTTAGCACTTGGTAGGTACTCAGTCATTGCTACTGTTAAGTTTTTGAAAGGTAAGTCGAAGTGCCTTTGAAGGTTTTTGAGAAAAAGAATGAATGACCTGGTAAAATGATGTTTCAGGAAGATGTCATGATATTATATAGGAAAGGAGGTGGGAGGCAAGATCAATGGTATGAAGCCAGTGAAAATCCTCCCCCACCCAAAGCAGGGTGGAGCTAGGCAAGTGGAAAAAGCTAGAGAGGACACAGGAGAAGAAAGGAAGCAGGATGGAGAGCCAGAAGGAAACCTGAAGGAGGCACATGGAGCAGAGAGGCATGTGATGGAACTGCGCTTGCTTCTTGGTACTGGACTGATTGAAACAGACATGGGTGAGAGCCCCGTGGAGAGGCTAACAATGGCAGTTTTTATCTTGGTTTTGATTTTTCTCATTTCCTCACAGACTTGTCTGGCTATTTCTGACCATTTTCTATGGGTCCCTGATGGAAGGTGCTTTAGACATGTGGCAGGCTTTTTGGCTTTGCTTTGGGCCAATCCTGTTTGACTGGACATTTACCCACAAGGGGATGGGTAACTTTGGGTGCTTGATTTAGAAACTATATTCTTTGTCTTTTCAGCACTGCACACTAGTTAAAGTTCTTTTCCATTAAAGGTCTTATATGTTTTGTCTTAATGCGGTGGACCGCAAAACCTATTTAGAGCAGGCAGGTTTGGGGGTTCTCCCTGCCCTCTAACAAAAAGTCTCCTGAAATAATCAAGATCAAATATAACAGAAATCTGATCAGGTGTGAAACATGAAAGAATCCTCATGGTTTGGGGAGTAAGTGGACATACACAGAGGGCAAGAGAGAAACCAGCCAAAGACGGTGAAAAAAATGTAGTTCTGAGGAATCAGGAAAATAGGGGTGTCACTGATCCAAACCAAAAGACAAAAGGAAGAGCACGTAATGATGCAGGAAAAACTGTTTGTATTCAGGAAGACCAGTTTATCTGTTGTCAGAAATGGAAGTATACTAAACCTCTGGAAAAAGCTGAAGCTAGCAATTTCGCTTTGGTAGGACCTGGTACCTACTCCTTCCTTTCTCCTGGAACATTGTTCCTTTCCTCTGCTTGACAAATTCCTGCTATTATCACTATTTGTTGAATTGCAGGGTGAAAGCAGCAAAAAGGTTAAAACCTGTGTAAGGTAGAGAGCTCAAGGGCACTTAGGAATCATTTTGGGCAGGGATGGTTGTGGGCTGGGAAGTGGCTGTGGGCACTCACCATTCCAAGGTGGAGGTTTCCAGTGGGCTGTTTCCTTGGTAGGGAACATGACAGCTCCCCCAAACTGTTCTGCCCATTCCACATCTGGCTGCCATTGCCGAGCACCTCTGGGGAGATGAAACAGATAGTAGGCAAAGGGCCTTAACAGCACTTGGTTCCTCTGTTCCCATTCATTCAGAGGGCCCATAGAAAGGGTTCTTGCATTCTTCAACCCCAAATCACTGACAGAGTTAGTGTAGCTTTGGAAGAACAAGCTAAAACACTAGGAGTTCCATTACCACTAACAAATTATGGCAGAATCACTTGACCTGTCACCTGTCCACAGGTTGTGGATCCTAGCCCCCACATAGTGTGCTCATATTTATAGTCCCATTCTGGTGAATAAAAATTCAAGAACAGTGTTTATTCAAGGTCAACTAGAAACTAAGAAAAGGAGAAAAAGAGACAGACACCCTTCATGATGGCTCCAAGGTTCAGCTTAAGTATGGCCAGACTCATGCACTGGGGACTACCGGGCATCTTGCTTTGTGCTCCTCTATTAAAACCCCACCATCAGGGGTGCTTCCACTGATGGCACCCCATGACGGAAAGCGGCAGGCGCAGCAGGGCATAAAGCAAAGGTGACACTAACACTACCGTTGATAGGCAAGGTCCCTCCATTTCACCCCTGGCAGAATGAGCTCAGGGTTTTCCATCCCCCCTCGGGCAGAGCGGGTGCCCCAGCACCCTAGAGCCAGACAGTGAAGACCTGGGCAAGGGAGTCGCAGGCCGGTGTCATGTTTCCTAGGGGCACAAGGCCCGTATAGCTCCCGCACTCGAGAGACCCTAGATTGGGGCGGGCACACCGGAGACGCCCAGGGCCTCACCTGCAGGGTTGGGTCGGCAGTCGGAGCCCTGCCGCGGGTCGCAGCGCCCGGCCCGCGCCACCCCGCAGCCCACATAGCGCCCTGAGCGCCGCCATCTTGCCCGCTGCGGACTGCAGAAGGAGAGCCGGGCGGAAGTGGCGTCGCACCGCCTTGCAGGCTTCTCTCCCGTCAGCGCCGCGCAGCCGCCATCTTGGAAGCGGGCAGCCTGCGACCTGACGACATCCGGGTCTCAGACCGGCTCCGGCTCCGGCTCCGCCCCTACCCGCGTGTCCTGGCTGAGAGTAGGATCGTGCAGTTCCCCTAGGGTCCGCTCCGCGCTCTGTTCCCACCACAGCTTGGGCGCTGCCTTCCCAATCCCCTCCACTTGACTGCCTTCTGGGACAGCCCCAGCTCTGCCAATTACCACCACCTACCCTTTCCCCCATTCCAGAAGTTACAGAGGGGTGCAAAGCCTGCTAATTTCCGTATGTCCTAAATGGATTAGGGTAATGGACCCTAGTGAGGCTGGGCGGGTCTGAGAGCTCCCGCCAAACCCAAATGAGAAAGAGCCTGATGCCAAGGCCACCAGCATGAGAGCATGCTGTCAAGTGGGTAGGGGCCGCAGATCGCAGATGAGAAGGGGAGGCCCCTATGCAAGAGCACCTAACTGCCGGGCTTCCAAATGTACACTTCCAAATTGCACACCCCACTTCCACCCTGGCTGTCTCTTTCTGTCCTGTCTTCCTGACCCAGAGTAGGTCCAGGGCAGCCATCAACAGCATGGAAATGCAGTAGCACCAGAGTTAGTACCCTGTGTCTGTAGGGAAGAGACTGGAGGAGTTTTGCAGCCTCTCCCTTGGCCTCCAGGCACAGCTCCAGCTGGGCCACCCTTGAGTTTGCCCCTCCCTCCCACTCTGAGCCTAGAAAGATGCCTTCTGTACAACTCCCACAGACAGGGTCTCTGGAACACAGCCCACCAGCAACGGGACAGGGTGGGGCGGGCGGGGAATTCTTAGCTGTAGAGAAAGAGGAAAGCCAAACTTCCAGCCTAGAAGTTGACCTAATGGGAAACTTACCAAAGGGTGTGTCCCTATCCCTGCCTTTGGGGACTGCTTGGGACCTGGGCGGACTGAGCAGTCTTCACCCAGCCAGAGGCTCTGCCTTTGTCACCCCCTTAGTTCCCTTCCTTCTCCCTGGGCCTTCTCTCCCTCCACAGTTGGAATATAATGTGCTGTGGGACAGGGGGATGCAATGGACTGCCTTGATTTGCCCTAATTTAGCTTGGGAGAAGTTGGGATAGACACTTTGCTGCTTGGCTCTGGGGGTAGCTTGAGCTGGGACTGATGTGAGGACTCCTGGGGGCTTTAGGACACTGAAGCTTTTGTTACTTCTCCCTGCTACCAACACCCCCACACACCCTCTGGTAGGACTCTAAGGCCCTTTGTCTCTCACTAGTCACCCCCTTTGTCCTCATCTCAGATGGGGGGTGGAGAGGGGCAGTGAGAGGCCTCTGGTGATGGCTCCTCTTGCCCCTGCCTTTTCTAGTCTCCCATCCTTTGTCTGACCGCTTCAGTCACAACCCCCTTAACTTAGAACTAGGGTCAGGGCATGTGGTGGGTCAAGACATATGGCACCCACAGAGGGGGGGGTGAGAGGGGAGTGACAAGGCAGGTATTGGTGACCTGAGCAGGAAGGGTGGGGAAGGGAAGTATCTGGGCGGATATGACATAGGAGACAGGAGGTGACAAGGCAGAGACAGAAAAATGGGGGCAGGGGCAGGTGGTCCACCCTGGAGAGGAAAGGGATAGCTGGCAGCGCTCTCCTTCCTGGGGATATCCTGGGGAAATGAGTTGCCATAGCATGGGCTAAGCAGACTTTGCCCCTAATTCTGAGTCCTTTCCTTCTTTGCATCAAGGGTCCACCCCAAGATGTCTTTCTGAGTTCTCTCCAGTTCAGAATCTGGGAATCATCTTGCTTCTTTTCCCTATGCTATCTCTCCCTTCCAGGCACTGGGCTTATTTCCCTCAGCACCCTTATTTCCCTGTACACGATGTAGCTGCCACCCTTTCCCTGTCCTGGAGGGAATGAGAAATAAAAGATTACTAAATATTCCATGAACATGAAATCTCAGGGCCAAGTAGGTCCAGAAGAGGGAGCCAGGTGGGGCTTCCCTCAATTGATAAAGGGTGCCTCTGGGTTCCAGAGACAGCAAGTCTATCCCTGTACTGGGGCTGGGCCTGCTGACTTGGGGTTGGGGATGGTTTTAAGGCAGTTGGGAGTAGGATCTGGGCCAAGAGCCTGGGGGAAGCTGCTGGGATCTGGGCCAGGGAAGTGGGGAGTCAGGAAATGGGGAGGGGGAGCCTTGGGGGGAATGGAGGCGGAATCATTATTCCGGGGTTTAGAGGGGGTGGGTGGTGGCAGCTCAACTCAGGAAGCCCAAGGGCGGGGGAAGGGCTGTTGGAGAAGAGGAGGTGCCACCTGGAACCCTCTTACAAAAGGGAAAGCTGTTAATCCTCTTCTTGTCCTCTACCCCTACGAGCCCTTTCTAGCAGCTCAGCTGGCATTGGGGCAGCAAATGCACTGACCTCCAGTCTCCAGGACCATCTTTCTGTTTCTGGTACCCTCCAGCTGCCTGGTCCCACCCTGAGCTGTGCTTTCTCAGTTCTGTCCTTTTCTAAGGCATCCTTACCTGTACCTCACCCTCCTCCCCAGAAGCTCCCTCCCTCCCTCAGCCCTAGAAGCAATTCAAGGGGCAGAGGGCAGCCTGAGAGAACCCTGAAAAAAGGGAGACCATGCCAGATTGGACAATGGGAGCCAGAATTCTCCCAGTACTGTGGTCCTTTCTGTGTGTGCTGACCAGGCTTTCTCTAACTTCCTACCCCTGCCTGGGCTCTGTCCCACCAAAAAGGGAAGGAGGCAGCTGAGAGACTGGGGTTGGGAAAAGGCTTGTCATCAGTTGGCCTGGTGCCTCAAATCCGGCTGCTAGAGATTCCCCTCCCCTGGGCAAGTCCTAATTTTTTTTTTAAAGGAAAACAAAAAGTAGGATTTTGGGAAAGCAATGAGACATCCATATGAGTTCTATCGACAGAGCACCAGTGAATGACTTTATCGCTCAGCCAATGGCAGAGGTTTGGGGTGCTTTATAAAAGTGCTGGCACAGAAAGAGGCTGGGGAGACCCATAGACACATAGAGAGGAGGAGACAGACAGACAAAGACACAGTGGAAAGAGGCAGAGCCAGGGCAGGCACGAGGCAAAGACAGACAGAGTCTAGCACAGAGGGGGCGGCTAGTGGCGCTCCAGAAGAGACAGGGAGAGACAAAGATCCAGGAAAGAAGGGGTGGGAAGAGAGTTTAGAGGCTCAGACCACCAGGCACTGCTCCTAAGTCTAAGGCCAAGTTTTCTCCCTCTTCTCCGAAGATTCCAGCCCCTCTGCACACTGCTTCTGACCCTGGCAGGAATCTGAACCCCTGGACCACAAAGAGGAGTTTTCCAAAGCTGGGTTGCTGGTGGGGGCTGGGTGCCCAGACGGCCTCAGTGCCTCCGGGAGGCAGCACGAGGGCCATGCATCCCAGGAGGGCCAGGGTAGGGTGCCGGCCACAGGGAATCTACCTCCACCAGTTCTTCCCTACAGTGCCTCTCCCAGTTTCCCCTTGGCTGCTCCTGCTGCCGCTAGCTTCCCTTCTGCCCTCTGCCGGGCTGGCCAACCCCCTGCCTGGGGAAGAGGAGATCGTGTTTCCAGAGAGGCTCAACGGCAGCGTCCTGCCAGGTTGGAGGTCCCCTGCCAGGCTGCTGTACCGCCTCCCGGCCTTTGGGGAGATGCTGCTTCTAGAGCTGGAGCAGGACCCTGGTGTTCAGGTCGAGGGGCTGACGGTGCAGTACCTGGGTCGTTCACCCGAGCTGCTGGGCGGGGCCGAGCCAGGCACCTACTTCACCGGCACCATCAACGGAGATCCTGAATCAGTGGCTTCTCTGCACTGGGATGCAGGTGCCCTGTTAGGGGTGCTGCAGTATCGAGGGGCTGAACTGCACCTCCAGCCCCTGGAGGGAGGTACCCCTAACTCGGCTGGAGGTCCTGGGGCTCACATCCTGCGCCGGAAGAGTCCTGCCAGAGACCAGGGTCCCATGTGCAACGTCAAGGCGCCTCCTGGAAGCCCCAGCCCCAGCCCGCGAAGAGCCAAGGTAGGCAACCCTGGAATCTGCACCCCGCAGCGTCCTCTGCCAGGCGCCATGTCTGTCCCACTGACCCCTATTCACCTTCTCTCCACCCACTTCCACTTTTGGCTCTTCTGCTGCCCTCCCTTCTGCCTGCCTTTCCTCTTTCCACTAGCCTCCTTTCCTGGGAAGGTTCTGGCTTCCTCCTACCCCAGCCATTGTCCCAGCCAGATCATGTATCACAAAGAGGGTTCCCAGATGTAAGTCAGATACTCTGCTTCCCTCCTCATCCTGCCCTTGACTGGCTATGGCACCTCTGCTGGCACAGTCCTTAGCAATAAGGCTCTGTTAATAGCCCCTTGGCCTTGCCTCTATTCTGTGGCCCAAATTCAATTTTTAGTTTCCCCCCCCTCCATACACACATACACACATCACCTAGAGGAGTGAGGTTTGAGGCCAAAGGGATTCACCTTTCACTTCTGGAGCTGCCTTCAAAAAATTGTTACAGCTGGGCCTCCCCGGTGGCCCAGCGGTTGAGTGCTTGCTGGGTTGCAAAGCTGCCCGCAGCCTCTGCAGTGCCGGTTCAATCCCTGCTGCTCCCCGGCCAGGCCACCGGGAGGAGGGTCCCACATGGCGTGCAGACCTCTCCTGCCGCCCGCTGCTCCCCTCAGCAGTGCACTTTGGTCCTTCTGCCTGATCTGCTCCCCGCTCTGGCTCTGGTGAATTCTCTCACCCTCCCATGCTTTTGACTGTATCCAGTGCTTGTATAAATAAATAAATAAATCTTTTTTTAAAAAAATTGTTACAGCAAACTGCAAAGGAGGGCAGCACCCATTCCTCCTACTCAGTCCCCTTCCCACTGTGGGGTAACTACAAGGCTGCCTGAGGCTCCATCCTTCTTCCCTCGCTGTCCAGTTCCCCTGCTTCTTCCCTCCCTTCTTTTCTCTCTCCTCCTTCCCTCCCTCCCTCAGTCTCCAGCTTTAATCCAGACCAGATCTCCACACCCGCCACGCTGAGAACTGGCCCTGGCCCTAACTGCTGACTGAATTGTTCCTTCAACCACACAGAGCAGACACGTTGCAGCCTGGCTCTCTAGCCCCAATCCTGTGAGCCCCAGTCACACTTAGGCCTTGGAACCCCCTTCCCCTCTCAGATACTTTTCACTTTTGGGGCCCATGCAGCTAGGACGTGGCATCTCCTTCTCCCCTCCTTTACAGAGCCAGCAACTGATTTCTCAGAGTTACCACAAAACCCCTGAGATTTGGGCTTGGAAGAGGGCCCAACCAAGACCCATTAGGAATCCCGTCCCTTGGGGTATGTGCTGCCCAGCTGCCTCTCCTGAGTTCCAGACCCAGGGAGGAAGGAAGAGAGGGGAAAATTGATCCTTGTGTCTGGGAGGATGTTTCAGGACCCTCTTCTCTTTCTTCCCCAGCGCTTTGCCTCACTGAGCAGGTTTGTGGAGACTTTGGTGGTGGCAGATGACAAGATGGCGGCATTTCATGGTGCAGGTCTAAAGCGCTATCTGCTGACAGTCATGGCGGCAGCAGCCAAGGCCTTCAAGCACCCAAGCATTCGAAACCCTGTCAATTTGGTGGTGACTCGGCTGGTGATTCTGGGGCCTGGAGAAGAGGGGCCCCAAGTGGGCCCCAGTGCCGCCCAGACCCTACGCAGCTTCTGTGCCTGGCAACGGGGACTCAACCACCCTGAGGACTCGGACCCTGAGCACTTTGACACTGCCATCCTGTTCACCCGTCAGGTGAGGCCCCCTCAGCACCACAAGCCAGGCACGGCACATCTCTGAAAGCGCCGTTGCCGAGACTGAGGTGCTGGAGTTTTGCACATGGTGCTGGCCAGGCCACACTGCCAGTGCTCTCTGGGCCTTCACGGTGCTGGGAACTCAGTGCCCAGCCCCCACTAATCTGGTGCTCAGCCTAGTGGGCCCTGGGGTCTCAGCTTATGTATCTTCTGTGGTCCCTCTCCACAGGACCTGTGTGGAGTCTCCACTTGTGACACGCTGGGCATGGCTGATGTGGGTACTGTGTGTGACCCCGCTAGGAGTTGTGCTATTGTGGAAGATGACGGGCTCCAGTCGGCCTTCACTGCTGCTCATGAACTAGGTGAGGTGGGATACCTGGGATAGATGAGAGAAGAATCGGGGTGAGATGAGGGGACAGACAGGGAGCTCACTGGGTACTAATAGCAATTACAGGTGTTTCTTCCTCCTCCATGTGCCTAGGTCGAGGGTCAGCATCCTTCTCTACTCTCGGGGTAGACAAATATTTAGATTTTTCCGTTAAATGAAATAATGCCTGGAAACCTACAGGGTGTGTGTGTGTGTGTGTGTGTGTGTGTGTGTGTTTGGAGTGAGTTGGCACTGTATTAAGAGGGATATTATTCACAAAAATCAATGATGAAATGTATAAGTTCAGGGTCAGGAATGTTGACGATAAGGAAAACTGGGTAGAGACAAAGATGTGGCTACATATTGAAGGGCCTCAGAGTCCCCAAAGGTGGGGGCAGGGAAATATGGGAATGGATCTGACAGTCCACAGCAGCAACCAAGTTTATAGTATAGGCCCCTGAGAGTATAAGGAGGGGAATACTGGAACTAGCAGGGCCTCCGCTCCTATAGGCCATGTCTTCAACATGCTCCATGACAACTCAAAGCCATGTGCCAGTCTGAATGGGCCTGGGAGCACCTCCCACCATGTCATGGCTCCTGTGATGGCTCATGTGGACCCCGAGGAACCCTGGTCCCCGTGCAGCGCTCGCTTTGTCACTGATTTCCTGGACAACGGCTATGGTAAGTAGATGCATCCCCTCCACAAAGGGGCTCAGATCTGCCCCACGCTACTTTCTTTTGCCACATTCCACACAGCTCAGGGCATGACTCCTCCAGTGTACTTCCTCTGCAGCATGGAGTAGGTGCGAGACATACTCGTGTGGCCCCACTTCCTCCCAGAACAAAGAGCAAACAGAGAGAGACAGATTGTGGCTCGATAGAAATAGAACTGGCCTTGGGGCCTCCCTGGTGGGGCAAGAGGTTAAGACACAGCACTGTGAGGCTATCTGCAGCCACAGCAGCACTAAGTTTGATCCCCGGTCAAGTATGTGACCCACAGGCACAGCAGACCTCTCCTGTCTCATCCGCTGCTCCCCTCAGCAATGTATTTCAGTTGATCTGCCTGTTCTGTTCCCCTCTCTGTCTCTGGTGAATCCTCTCACCCTCTATACCTCTGGCCTGTATCCCAGTTCTTGTATGCATAAATAAATAAATCTTAAAAAAAATAAATGGAACTGGCCTTCAAAATGTCAGTACTGTCCAACCTCGAGTGCCCATCACTTGAGGTACACAGGCCCCACAGGATGACTAGTGCAAGGCAGTTTGCTGTACAAAGCAGACCCAGTAATATACTGTAGTTGGTGAGAACTGTACTTAGGGTTTCTGTTCTGGTTCTGTTTTCAAATATGTGTACCTGTGTGGCTCTGAGTTCATCACTTCACCTCTACATAACTGATCTGCAAACTAGGCGTGTTAGTAGTCACTACCTCCTAGATTTTGGAAGGATAACAGGAGATAGTGTTGGTCAAGCATTTAGCCAATGCTTGTCTTCCGATAAATTATAACTGCTATTTAAAGCTTCTTCCAACTGTTGGATTTGGATCTCAGCTCCATGGGCCCCAAGGGATCCCAGGCTTTCTGTTGGCCCCTTAGCTCATTGCTGATTTCAAATTTCCTTCCAGGACACTGTCTCTTAGACAAGCCAGAGGCGCCTCTTCATCTGCCTGTGACTTTCCCTGGCAAGGACTATGATGCTGACCGCCAGTGCCAACTGACCTTCGGGCCTGACTCACGCCATTGTCCACAGTTGCCACCGCCCTGTGCTGCCCTCTGGTGCTCTGGCCACCTCAACGGTCATGCCATGTGCCAGACCAAGCACTCTCCTTGGGCTGATGGCACCCCCTGCGGGCCCACACAGGCCTGCATGGGTGGCCGCTGCCTCCATGTGGACCAGCTCCAGGACTTCAATGTGAGCTCTTGACATGGCTAGGGAGGGGTGAGGGAAGGTTGAGGGGAAAGCTTCAGGGCCTGGCCCTGAGCCCAGAAATGTCTGTTAACCCCGCCCTTCCATTCTATGCTTCTGCAGATCCCACAGGCTGGGGGCTGGGGTCCCTGGGGGTCTTGGGGTGACTGCTCCCGGAGCTGTGGGAGTGGTGTCCAGTTTTCCTCCCGGGACTGCACAAGGCCCATCCCCCGGAATGGTGGCAAGTACTGTGAGGGCCGCCGCACCCGCTTCCGTTCCTGCAATACTCAGGACTGCCCAACAGGCTCAGGTGAGGAACGGGAGGGTGTGGGGGAGCAGGAAGGACTGTCCTTGAGTGCAGAGGACCAAAGGGGGTATTGACTATCCCTGCTGTTGAGGGAGTGACTTCATCCTTCTGGAACCTTCCCTGAAGTCTGTGGGGAAGAGGTTCTCTGCTGTCCAGAAGTCTTAAGGGGCTAGGTGGAAGGGCCCATGGGACAGTGTGAGGTGGGTAGAATTCTGACAGTCTGCTTTACCCCTGCAGCCTTGACCTTTCGTGAAGAACAGTGTGCTGCCTACAACCATCGTACTGATCTCTTCAAGAGCTTTCCAGGGCCCATGGACTGGGTCCCTCGCTACTCGGGCGTGGCTCCCCGGGACCAGTGCAAACTCACCTGTCAGGCGCGGGCACTAGGCTATTACTATGTGCTGGAGCCACGGGTAAGGGTCTGTTGATGCTCATGCACACCCCCTGTTTCTGGTGGCATAGACCCTCCAGGACAGCACCTTTGCTGGCACTGGCATTCCCACAGTGGTGCCAAGCCAGCCAGGGCAGCCATGGACTTACTGGTCAGGGGTATTTGGAAAACCAGCCCCAGACTCTGGCTAAGTTCCCAATCAGGTGGCTCTAGTTTCTCCAGTTTCCCCTGCTCACCCCTACCACCACAGGTTTCTTTTCCTCTCTCACCTCCTTCCAGTGCTCCATCTCACAAGAATGAAAGTGTGTGGCCTTTTGGGCAAGTTTTTGTCTCTCCTTCCCTGGGATCCTTTGTTAAATTACAGTGGGGGCCTCATTTGGCTCATGGGTGGTCTGCCCCTGCCCCTGCACTCCCTCTGTGCACAGTGGCAGTAGAAGGCTTCAGAGGTAGAATAAGTCCTGGCCTAGCCTGTTCCTTCGCAGCCACCAGGACAATTCCTGCAGGCTGCTGCCCTCTAGCGTCTATCTTCGGCACTGTCGTCCAAGTTTAACTTCGTGTTGGCCTCAAATACACAATTCCCACCTCGTCTCCTCCACTTAACAGCTACGTCACCTTTGAGCAAGTTCCTAATCTTTCTAAACCTCAGCGTTTCATCTCTAAACCTCCAGTAGTGGTTGTGAGATTTAGATTCTTTCTAATAGAACACTGCTTCATAGTGAGTGCTCTGAAATGGTGACTTTGACATTATGATGATCATCATTGTCACCCCACACAGTGCTTGGGGCTCACTCCAACCACAATGCCTCAAACCCACCCCCCCTGCTTTTCTGACACCCCCTCCCACATAAGAAATGGGAGCCACTCCGGACTTTGGAAGGACCCTTTGTATTGCTCCTTTCCTTCTCAGGTGGTAGATGGGACTCCCTGTTCACCGGACAGCTCCTCCGTCTGTGTTCAAGGCCGCTGCATCCATGCTGGCTGTGACCGCGTCATCGGTTCCAAAAAGAAGTTTGACAAGTGCATGGTGTGCGGTGGGGATGGTTCTGGTTGCAGCAAACAAACTGGCTCCTTCAGAAAATTCAGGTTCCTCCATAATTTATTTGTTCTTCCTGCCTTCCTGGGGCAATTTCTGGGGTCTGAGGAGACAGAGATGACCTCCACACTGTCTCTCCTCTCCAAGAGCTCAGTCTGGTTGGGGAGAGAGCCATGAAAGTAGTGACAGCCCAGAGTCCCACCTGTCCCACAGGTGACAGCAGGCTGCTGTGTTGGCAGAGAGGGCCTCCCCAGGAGGTGACTATGAGCTGCTCATGAAGGGAGGGTGGGAGCTAGATAAGCCCAGGAAGTGGGCCTAAGAAGGGCACCTCAGAAGGAGGCAGTGGGTTTACATGTACAGAGATGAGAAGCTGGAGGGCACATTGCCTGTATCTCAGATCTAGGTGGGACAACCCACGGAGGTGGGGAGACCACCATCCACACACATATGTACATGCATGCAGTCATAAACACAGCTCAGGTAGGTTGAACTGTTCAAAGAGGCTGAACACCCCTCTATTTCTTCCACACAGGTACGGCTACAATGATGTGGTCACTTTCCCTGCGGGAGCCACCCACATGCTTGTCCGGCACCAGGGGCCCCCTGGTCACCGGAGCGTCTACCTGGCCCTGAAGCTCCCAGATGGCTCCTATGCCCTCAATGGTGAATACACATTGATGCCTTCCCCCACTGATGTGCTGCTGCCTGGGGGTGTCAGCCTGCACTACAGTGGGGCTACTGCAGCCTCTGAGATGCTGTCAGGTCATGGGCCCCTGACCCAGCCCTTGACCCTGCAGGTCCTAGTAGCCGGTGACACCCAGAAGGCACGCCTCCGGTACAGCTTTTTTGTGCCCCGGCCAACCCCCTCACCAGTGGCACGGTCCACTCCCCAAGACTGGTTACAGCGCAAGGCACAGATTCTAGAGGTCCTTCGGCGCCGCCGGCCTTGGGCAGGCAGGAAATGACCTCACCATCCCGGCTGCCCTTTCTGGGCACCGGGCCTTGGACTTGGCTGGGAGAGAGAAGGGGCTCCTGCAGCCGCCTCCACCAGAAACAGGGGGCAGAGGCCCTCTTGTGCTCCCTCTGTGCAGGCTGGCCCTGCCCTGGATTCCTGCCCTGGGTGGCAGTGATAGATGGTGGATGAAGATAGGAGACAGGCCCTGTGCTAACTTGCCCCCTCTGCCCTGCTGGCCATAGGAGGGAGGGGAAGGCAGGGTGGGTCCTCTTATATTTATTTCATATTTATTCACTTTCATTTAGCATCAGGGAAGAGGATGAGGGCAGAGGTCCTGGGGAAACTGACCCCCCAGCTCCTCAGAGCCCTCACCTAACTGGGAACTGGTGGTAGGTGTGTATGTGTGCGTGCGTGTGTGTTTGACATCCTGCCCTGCTCACCTCTCCTTGAATCTTATATTCTGGGAAGGGATAGGCTGGGCCTTCAGGGAGTAAAGGGGTATGATATTTTTTAAATATAAATTGAATCCTGCTATTTATGTGCTCCTTTTGGAGTCAGACAGATGTGGACTGCAGTGTAAGATTCCTCATTTGCCAATAATAATACCTCCTTGAAAATTTGTTATGAGCATTAAATAATGTAAATAAAGAAGCAACATCAGGGGGCCTCCCTGGTGGCCTTGGCAGAGGTTAAAGACAGCACTATCAAGCTATCGCCAGCCACTGCCAGGGAGCTATCGCCAGCCACCAGGGAGCTGACCCACATGGCACAGCAGACCTCTCCTGTCTTGCCCACTGCTCCCCTCAGCAGTGTATTTCAGTAAATCTGCCTGTTCTGCTCCCCAACTCTCTCTGGTGAATCCTCTCACCTCCCTTGCACCTCTGGCCTATATCCCAGTTCTTGTATGCATAAATAAATAAATCTTTAAAAAAAAGAAGCAACATCATGCCTGGACTTGGCAAGTGCTCTGCAAATGGTGGCTACTTTTAGTTATTATCACTTCCCCTACCTGAGGGTCCGCAATGTGCCAGAAAGAGGCAGAGATCTGCACCCTAACTCCCAGACTTGCTCCTTTGGTTAGAAGAACCTGAGGCCCAGATCTTAAGGGACTGTCAGAGAAAAGACTGTCCCTGATCTTTAGAGGCCCCCAGTCATGTGATATATAAGAACTACTGGGCTACAAACATGGGTGACAGGAACACGAAGATGCAAAAATGAACGAATGGGGCCTCCCCGGTGGCTCAGCGGTTGAGCACTGGGTTGCAAAGCTGCCCGCAGCCTCTGCAGTGCCGGTTCGATCCCCGGCTGCTCCCTGGCCACCGGAGGAGGGTCCCACATGGCGCGCAGACCTCTCCTGCCGCCCCCTGCTCCCCTCAGCAGTGTACTTTGGTCCTTCTGCCTGCTCTGCTCCCCGCTCTGGCTCTGGTGAATTCTCTTACCCTCCTGCGCTTCTGACTGTACCCAGTGCTTGTATAAATAAATAAAAATAAATTAAAAATAAATAAAAATAATAAAAAAATTTTTAAAAAATCTTTAAAAAAAAATGAACGAATGACTTCTCCAACACAGATAAGCACCTGGTGACAAGAGTTACAGCTGAGGGGTCTGGGGCGGAGGTTGGGGGGGGTAGGTTGTCATGGTAGGGAGAGCCTTGGAACAGAGTGAATGATTTACATTTGAGTTGGGATTCAGTGTCTTCCTAACTGGCCACATTGGTTTTGTCACTGACAGTGGACTTGGGCTGCATGTGCTTTTATGTTATTTTTTTTTAAGTTTATTTTTTTAAGATTTATTTATTTATTCATACAAGCACTGGGTACAGTCAGAAGCGCGGGAGGGTGAGAGAATTCACCAAAGCCAGAGCGGGGAGCAGAGCAGGCAGAGGGACTGAAGTACACTGCTGAGGGGAGCAGTGGGCTGCAGAAGTCTGCGCGCCATGTGGGACCCTCCTCTGGTGGCTGGGGAGCAGCCGGGGATCCAGCCTGGGATCCAGTCGGGGATGGAACTGGCACTGCAGAGGCTGCGGGCAGCTTCGCAGCCGAGCACTCAACCGCTGTGCCACCGCCACCAGGGAGGCCCTGCATGTGCTTTCACATGCACGGCCGGTCCCACGGGTTGCTCTGGGAACAAATGTGAACTGATTTTCACAACAGTGAAGGTTGCACCATGTGAGAACTTCCATTTTTAGACTGCCTAGTGACTAGGGTAGGGTCCCAGAATTAACTAATGAAGATCCAACAGATTTCTTGGAGGAGGTACAGTTAGAAGGGAATTTAATAGAAGGAACAAAACATGGCTTGGTGGTGTATAGCCAGGAAGGCAAAAAGAATGGCCTGGAAAGGGACGCTGGGTGAGGGAGGTAGGTACTCAGTGGTAGCAGAACACTTGAAGGGCCACAGGAAAGAGAAACAATTCCACCTTTCCTTCTGAGCAGGTGACTTAAGAAAGAATTCAGGCCATGGAGAGAACAGGTTGGGAAAGGGTGGCGTGTGGCAGTATTGGTAACAGGATCACTAGGGATTGGGGATTGCATTGATTGTGGAGGTGAGGGAGGAGTTGTGGGTGAAGAAATTTCCAAGATGGGGTTGTTGGGATGTTTCACTCTGCAGTGGCAACTTCTAGCTGGGCCACCTGACATTGCCTTGGATGAGGACCGGGGCCCCGACGGAGGCAGCTTGTGAACATGTGTATATGTGTATGTTGTGCTCCTGGGGCTGACCAAGTTCTATGCCAGGCTGTGCCTTTCTCAGTGCCCAGTATATCACACTTCCCAGCAAGGCCTTACTCCCTGCAACCACAGGGACAGTCCATATTGCCTTCCTGGCCAGTCTGCATAGCCCCACTACTAGGCCCCTTCCTCCTACCCTCTGACCAGGCAGCAGGAGAGCAGAACAAGGTCAGGGTAATCTCCACCAATTTTATCTAATTAGTGAAACTGGACCACAGTAACATGTTTGCAGACTGGAATACTCTGAGCTCATTGTATAATATGAGAACTCTGTGCTAAGCAGGGAAGGTACACAGTACACGATTCATAACTAGAGGGTGTGCTCCTTACCTCCACAGAGAAACAATAGGATGGAACAAAGAGTTGTGTGACAAAGGCCAAGTGACCTGTGCAGAAACTGAACCTGGGCTTAATGGGCTTTAAGGGTCAAGGTGGGTGTGTTTCAGGTAGGCCCTGAGGTTTAGGGAATCATGGTAGTCAGCCTTACTTTTTTTAGTGCTCAGGATGATTCATGCATTGTAAACCACTGCCATACACACTGTTTTATGAGGATGCCCTTTATTCAATGAGCAGACTCCTGGCTGTCATCAAGAAGTTTCTCCCAGGGGCTTCCCTGGTGGCACAAGGGGTTAAGACGCAGCACTATGAAGCTATCCGCAGGCACTGCAGCACGAGTTCAATCCCCAGCGAGGGAGGCAACCCACATGGTGCAGCAGACCTCTCCTGTCTCGCCCGCTGCTCCCCTCAGCAGTGTATTTCAGCAGATCTACATGTTCTGTTCCCCCACTCTGTCTCTGGTGAATCCTCTCACCCCCTGCATATCAGGCCTGCATCCCAGCTCTTGTATGCATTAGTAAATAAATCTTTTTTTTTTTTCCAATTTTTTTAAAGATTTATTTATTTATTTACATAAGCACTGGGTACAGTCAGAAGCACGGGAGGGTTAGAGGATTCACCAGAGCCAGAGCAGGGAACAGTACAGGCAGAAGGACCGAAGTACACTGCTGAGGGGAGCAGCGGGTGGCAGGAGAGGTCTACGCGCCATGTGGGACCATCACCCGGTGTCCGGGATCGAACCGGCGCTGCAGAGGCTGTGGGCAGCTTCGCAGCCCAGCACTCAACTGCTGCACCACCAGGGGAGGCCCAGTAAATAAATCTTAAAAAAAAAAAAGTTTCCCCCAGAGAGGAACTGAGTTTAGACGTCACTCACTGCTTTGGTGAATGCATGGAGGGCAAACAGCAAAAGAAGTGAAACAGAAAGCGAAAAAAGAGTAGTGGGCATCTCTGTGGGACCTGACTGCCTTCTGGAATGCTTTCCTCAAACCATCTTTCCCAGGCCTAGGTTCAACTCTGCCTGCAGTCAGGAGTCCAACAAGTTCTTGCTAGGTGTGGAGTGTGTGCACCTCCCTTCAAGAGCCAAGGAAAGCTGACCTCCCCTACTCCATCTGCTTCTTCTCTTTATGGACCTATGGACCTGTGCTGGGGCTTACAGCTGGAGGAGAAAGAGGAAGAAGGCACCCAGACAGTTTAAGGATGTGGTTTTAGAAGGAAAAAGAGGCCCACTGATGAGCTACAGAAAAAACTTCAACTCCTGGAGGGATTGTCCCCTCCAGGGAGAAGTCCTTGGCAGTGTGGGTAACTTTTATGGGATGGAAGGCGATGTGTGTTGGTATTTGTGGTTTTGTGGGGAGGGGGCTTGAAGTAGTAACTGTGAGTTGGGCTAATTTCTTTCTTTCTTTTTTTAAAAGATTTATTTATTTATGCATACAAGAACTGGGGTACAGGCCAGAGGTGTGTTTGGTGAGAGGATTCACCAGAGACAGAGCAGGGAGCAGAACAGACAGATCTATGCAAATACATTACTGAGGGAAGCAGCTGGTGAGACAGGAGAGGTCTGCTACACCATGTGGGTAGCGCCTGGCAGGGGATCGAACTCCTGCAGCAGAGGCTGCAGATAGCTTCAACCCTTTGAGCCACCAGGGAGACCCCTGGGCTAATTTAAGCTCTTTCTGTAAGCCTTTGAGAGTCTCTGAGTCCGTGGTTAGAGTCAAGGAATCTGGGCATCTCTCCAACTGCTGTGGTGGTGGCAGATTTAGATTCTGCAGAATGGGGGACTCATCTACACTTTACTCCATCTCTAGCCCCACTTCTTTAATCTCCATATAGTACTAATTACAGTATTTAATTTTCTAAAACACCAGACTAACAGCAAGTGACAAAGCCAGCACCCCATTGGTCAGGGTTTGTTGGGGAGGAAGAGGACAAAAGTAGAATTCATTGTATTTACATTTTATTGGCTAAGAGGATGTTTCTGAACCAATTGAATATTTTCCTCATTGACTATTGCTGTGGGGAAACCAAACTCAGTGGCAGCAAGAGTAACCAGCAGGCAGCTGGGGGAAACCACCAGTTCTAAAAATGCCCAGAGTGGGGCCTCCCTGGTGGCGCAGGGGTTAAGACGCAACCTATGAAGCTATCCGCAGCCTCTGCAACATGAGTTTGATCCCCGGCCAGGGAACTACCCACATGGTGCAGCAGACCTCTCCTGTTTCGCCTGCTGCTCCCCTTGGCAGTATTTTCAGTCTGTTCTGTTCCCCACTCTGTCTCTGGTGAATCCTTTCACCCCCCACACCTCTAGCCCATGCCCCAGCTCTTGTATGCATAAATAAATAAATAAATAAATAAATAAATAAATAAATAAATAAATAAAAATGCCCAGAGAGAGATGGGGGAGCAACACTACTGAACAACTTACACAGAAATGACCTTACATAGGGATAGACTCAGAGTGCTTAAGTAGCCTAAGGGAGGGGAAGAGGCTGATTTATGGCATCCCTAAGTCTTTGTAACCAGCAACTGGCCCAATGTACTTCCTGAAGATTTTCATTACTTGGTTAGCTCTCTAGTCTCCTGACTCCCTATCCCCTCACTCTATTGTCTAGTCTTACTGTTACAGGGCAGGGAGAGGGGCACCCCAGACCCTGCTATGAAGCTGTTCACAGCCTCTGCAGTGCGGGTCCAATCCCAGCTGGCCAGTGAGCTACCCACATGGCGCAGCAGACCTCTCCTGTCTCACCCCGCTTCTTCTCTCAGCAGTGTGTTTCAGTCAGTCTGCCTGTTCTGTTCCCTACTCTGTCTCTGGTGAATCCTCTCAGCCTCCAGCACATCTGGCCTGAAACCCAGTTCTTGTAAATAAATCTTAAAAAAAAAAAAACAGGTTCTGCCATCGCCACATCAACACAAAACATATGAGACTTTAATGAAAAGGAACTTTAATACAATTAGGAAACAATACAGGAAAAGCAAAGAATATAGTTTCTAAATCAAGCATCCAAAGTTACCCGTCCCCTGTGGGTAAAAGTCCACCCAAATGGGATTGGCCCAGAGCAGGCCCAAAAGCCTGCCACAAGTGTAAAGCACCTTTCAGTGGGGACCCACAGAAAAGGATCAGAAACAACCAGACAAGTCTGGAAGGAAAAGAGCAAAATCAAAATCAAGACAAAAACCGCCATTGTCACCTCCCCACGGGTCTCTCACCTACATCTGTGTCACCCAGTCCACGACCAAAAGGCAAGCGCAGTTTCTTCACATGTCTTTCTGCTCTTTGCAGCTTCTTCTCTTCTCTTTAGCTCCACCTTCCGTTGAGTGGGGCAGGGAACCTGGAATTTCCACTTTTCCTGGGGACCACCCTGTTACATTACTGATCCCTTCTTTTCTCAGATTTTATTTGGGACTATTGCAACATGTCAAGACAATCCTATCTGGAGAGATTGGGCTCAATTGTGAGTGTGAGGGAATATTTACAGCCAAGGAGCAGAATGAGCTGGGTCTATGGGTGCAAAATTACTTCAAGGGTTGCAAGGAAGATTTTTGTTAAACCAATTTAATTCTTGGATTTGGGATTCTTGTTGAAGGCTGGTGTGTGTGTGGGGTGGGGGTGGGGGGGTGGTGTCTTCTTAAAATGATTTAGCAGGATTATTGCTAAAAGCGGATGGAGGTCCCAGGATGAAGCCTCTGAAAAGAGGACTCAGAGGAGCCTGTCTAAAGTTTGGTCAAAGAGAGTCTTTGTCAATACCTATATAAAAATTAATATTAGGGCCTCTCTGGTGGCGCAAGGGGTTAAGCACCGCACTATGAAGCAATACACAGCCTCTGCAGCACGAGTTCAATCCCTGGCTGGCCAGAGAGAAACCCACATGGTGAGGCAGACCTCTCCTGTCTCGCACGCTGCTCTCCTCAGCAATGTATTTCAGTCAGTCTGCCTGTTGTTTCCCACTCTGTCTCTGGTGAATCCTCTAACCCCCCCGCAACTCTGGCCTGTACCCCAGCTCTTGTATGCATAAATATATCTTTAAAAAATTAATATGAATAGATGAATATAAATAAGATTTTATTTAACTCGTGAGGGACTCTGCAGATGTTATAACTGGTTCAAAAAAATCTAAAGAACAGACACATTTATAGATGAAGAATACAGAAATGAATATGAATGGGAGGAAAAAAATTTTCACAATGTAGGAGGAAGTAGGGGGTTAACTGAACTCTATCAGACAGGACAGAATTTGCTATGGAGCAGAGTTGTAAAATATTACATCTGGGTATCTAAAGTATCTGGAGGATTTAACCAACCACAAATGGAAAATATAGACTATGTAGCTGTGGTTGTATCTGTACTGAACATGTACAGACCTTATTGGTGTGTCATTATTCCATATATACACATAACAACTATTTGCATAGCATTTACATTGTGTAAGGTATTATAAGTAATCTAGAGATAATTTGAAGCATAAGGGAGCATACGCCTAAATTGTATACAAATTCTAGACCTTTTTTACATAAGGGACTTGAGCTTCCTGGATTTGGAGGGGGGAAGGTTTCCCCTACTACCTCACCCCACTCCACCCCACAGATATCAAGGGGTAACTTGGTATGCCCAGTTAGCAAGGGATAACTGTAATTCACACAGAAACAGAATCTTCAGAAGTATAAGGAAGTATAAGGAGTCTGTCAGATTTCACACTAGACATCACTTCTTCTGAGAAGTCATTTCTAAATCTCCACATGTGAATGAGGTGCAATAACTAGGTTACCATGTTTCTTACATTCAGTTGATGACCTCCCTCCCCACCCCCCACACCCCTAAACACACACAAGACCATGAGCTTTTATTATTATTATTATATATATTACATCATTTTTCATTTTTGTACAATGTACGCATTTTCATCTTGGTTATAGTCCCAGTAAAATTCCCACCGCCCTTGTTTTGATCCTACTCCCTGCCCCCCGCCCCCGTAGTGTGTCTCTGGTTTAGAATTGCCTGTGGATTTTGATTTTTTTTTTATTTTGATTTTTTCATGACCTTTTTGAGAGATACTGAGAGTTGCTTCTTCAGGGTGAACATAGGCTTTTACGAATGCAGTATGCTAAGAGCAGCGGCAGCACATGAAGAACGTATTCCACGTTACCGGAGCGTCCATTTTACTTTACAGTTGGGGGGACGTTCTCACATGAAAGCGACCGCTGTCCCCTCGCACCAGCGTTTCCTAGTTTCATGAACGGATTCTATTTCGACGCCTGCGGACACCCTGGTGACACAAAAATGTAGAGAGCTGTCTGCAAACAAGTCCCCCGAGCAAGAAACAATTTTGACATTAAGTCACACGAAGCTGCAGGGGCGCGACTGACGCTCCGGAAAAGGGGCGCCCTCACCAGGGGGACCGGCCGTCGGACGCGCAGCACCGTCCCCCGCGCCCCTCGATCAGTCTCGCCCTGGGAAAGTCCTCGTTTGAGTTGCTGCGTAAGTCTGAGGAGCAGATGAGATGGCGATGAATCAGTGCTTGGAGCGGTGGCGTCCCCCCCAGCCCCCCTCCCCTCAGGCCCCTCCCCTCCCCCTCCCCTCAGCCCTCCTCCCCTCAGCCCCTCCCTCAGCCCCCTCCCCCCAGCCTCCCTTCCCATCCAGGAGGGCGCGCTCCGGAACCCCACGGCCGCGAGGCGCCCCGCCTCGGCCACGCCCCCAGACGGGGGGCGGGGAAGGGAGTCTATGCCCCGCCCCGTGACGTTAGGCTCCGCCCCCGATGCGCCCTCTCCTAAGATGGCGGCAGCGATGCCTGCCCGGCTGTCGGGGTGGCGGTGACGACGGGAAGCAGAAGCCCAGGTAGGTGAACCAGGGATGGTGGGGGTGGAGAGAGGCCCGGGAGAAAGGTTCGGGCGATTGGAGGGTGAGAAGTTTGGGGTAAAGGCTGGAAACGAGCTTAAGCAGGGAAGAGGGTCCCAGCTAGAGTATGGGCAGAGGCCGGTGGGCTTACTTCGCCAGGTAGGGTAAACGCAAGAAAGGGTGACGTGGGATGGGGGGCTCCGAAAGAACTGGGAGGTAACCCGCTGCAGAGCGCTGACCACGCCCCTCCAGGTGAGCTTGCCCAGGTACTCCATCTGGCTTTGCCCATCCCTCCCTCTTCCTACCGCGCTTCTTCTGTAAGCCTCCTTCCCCCACCCCCGCAAGGACTAGGGAAAGGTGGAAAAGGTGCAGGAGCCGCCCCCACCCTGTTCCCCGGGGCTGTTTGCTTACAGCTCCCAGGTGGTCACGCTCCCTGCACCTGCGGAGCTACCTCCCAGGCACGTGAAGAATGGAAAGGCACCTGTTTCTACTCCACCCTGGGTTCTCTTGAGGCCACTCCAAAAGTCCTGTCATGACTGCCTCACCCTCTGGAGAAAATGTTTCCTTTAACTGCCCTGTCCCCACTCCCCAGACTGGTCGGGCCTGTTGGAGTAGGGGGGGTGGTTAGGGACCTAGTGAACCTGACAGCCCAGGGTAGGGTAGAGGGGGCTCTTGCCCCTCCCTCTTATATCACCACTTCCCCTCCTGGGAGACCAGCCTCACCCTTATCTGGACTCTTGCCTCTTTGCTGGTGCCTGGTCATCCCTGACCACTGGTCCCAGCTGGCCCCAGGATTAATCACTTTTGGAGCCTGTGTGGAGCCTATGTTTGTCCTTTGTGACATTTCCAATTTTAGATAATGCCTCACATCACCGTCCCCCCGGGACCTCCTGCAGCCCCCATGATCGGGAAGAAAACAACTTGAATCTAGGTGAGTCTCTCTGTAAAATCGGAAGGGTGGTTCCAGACTTCTGAAATGGAGTAGACCTGAATGATATAGGGTTCTTGGGGATAGGGATTGAGAGTAGTTGGTAGAATTTGTTTGGGGAGGGGTGGAGTGAAACCTGGGCTGGACATGGCAGATGATAGGGTTGCTAGTGGTTACACTGTTTTATTCCTTGCATGATAGCCCACTTGTGCTCCCCTCTCCACTCTGAGACTTAGTTGTGTGCCTTTCTTCCCTCTTTATCCCTGAAATTATCTTCCTCCCCACCACGACCCACTGTTGCTTTGCTCTCTTCCTGCCTGCCCGCAGAGCTTTCCTCTCTCCCTCCACAGACTTCACCCCAGGATGTTGCGGAGGCTGCTGGAGCGACCCTGCACGCTGGGCCTGCTTGTGGGCTCCCAGCTGGCCGTCATGATGTACCTGTCACTAGGAGGCTTCCGAAGCCTCAGCGCCCTATTTGGCCGAGAGCAGGGGCCCACATTTGACTACTCTCATCCCCATGATGTCTATAGTAACCTCAGTCACCTGCCTGGGGCCCCTCCAGCTCTTCAAGGCCTGCCCTACTGTCCAGAACGCTCTCCTCTCTTAGGTGAGTACAGAAGGAAGGAGGTGAAGGCAAGGGTGAGGCATGGGGATAGGAAGATTTGGCCAGGCACCCGGTAGCAGGAGTGGGACTTGGGCAGGGGTTAATGTCATCAGGATGTGGACTGAGGCTGAGAGAAGGGACTTTGAATTTGGAGGATAGATTGGGTCACCACTTTCCACTGTCCTTATACTTACAGATTCTTCTTGCCTTGAGCTCAGAATTGCTTCCTTTGTAGATTAGCCCTGATTTAGTTAGTTGTAATTTTTTCTGATGTCTCTATCCCCTAACTGTAGCTTCCAACTCTGTGAGGTGGAAGAGTTATGAAACCCTAAAATAAGATAATAGCTAGGTAAGGATCCTGTACCATCCAGACTTTGCAAATCTGTCCAAATGATGGGGAGCTCAAAATTTCTGAGTGGGTCTTGGTGGGAGGATCAGAGGTGTTCCCTGTGGGTCCTTCTTTTCTCCTTGTCCCTCCAATCCCTGACCCTGCCGTTCCCTCCCAACAGTGGGTCCCGTGTCCGTGTCCTTTAGCCCAGTGCCATCCCTGGCGGAGATTGTGGAGAGGAACCCCCGGGTGGAACCCGGGGGTCGGTATCGCCCCCCAGGCTGTGAGCCCCGCTCCCGTACAGCCATCATTGTGCCCCATCGTGCCCGGGAGCACCACCTACGCCTATTACTCTATCATCTGCATCCCTTCCTGCAGCGCCAGCAACTGGCTTACGGCATCTATGTCATCCACCAGGTACCCGATCCCACTCTGTTCTCAATTTCTTATAAGGAGACCTCAAGTAAACGCCCTTTATGGATCCCTGAAACAGTTTTAGTACCGTCAGACTGGTGACTAGTTGGCACTATTCTGCCAACACTTTAGCCTGTTTAGGGTATCCCCTTTGCTTTCCACCCTCCATGATTCTTCCTTGGTTGAGTAGTTTGTACAAATTTGGAATTGGATAGATTTGGCCTAAAATTCTTATTCAGCCATCTGTTACATATGTGACCTTGAGCAAGATATTTCACTCCCTAAAATGAAGTGAAGAGCAATTACTAACTTGCCACCCATTTCACATGATAGCTGGTGTCATCATTAAATGCTCAACAGCAGCATGTATGTATCAGGCACAAACTGATGCCCCAAAAAAGGTGTTGCGTAAAAAAGAGATTATTTTTCTCCTTACCCCACATCAACTCTCTACTCCTTTCACTTTACACTTCAGCCTCTCTTCTCCATGCTACCTGCAGTATAATCAGCTTCTCATTGTCTTTCAGGCTGGAAATGGAACCTTTAACAGGGCAAAGCTGTTGAATGTGGGGGTGCGGGAGGCCCTACGTGATGAAGAGTGGGACTGCCTATTCTTGCACGATGTGGACCTTTTGCCAGAGAATGACCACAATCTCTATGTGTGTGACCCCCGTGGGCCCCGGCATGTTGCTGTTGCCATGAACAAGTTTGGATACAGGTAGAGGCGGGAGAGGGTGCTGGGAAGGAGGCAAGAAACTTCCTGAGTAGGGATATCTCCCAGAAGATTTGTGGAATCCAAAGATCTCTCCTTCCCCAGCCTTCCGTACCCACAGTACTTCGGAGGGGTCTCGGCCCTCACTCCTGACCAGTACCTGAAGATGAACGGCTTCCCCAATGAATACTGGGGCTGGGGCGGTGAGGATGACGACATTGCTACCAGGTCAGATTTCCTGCCACCTCTTCCCTTGCTTGCCCAGCCTGGATCTCTGTCCTCTGAGGCCACCCTGGCCTTAGCGCTGACAGCAAGAACCCTTAGCTCTCTACTCCTGCACCATGCCTACCCCTCTCCCTTTGCCTTTCAGTCTACCCAGGTCAGGTTCTATATACTGCTCCCGCTTTGTCCCTTCCCTTTTGATCTGGATGGTTATATTCCTGGAAGAAAACTCAGGAGTGTAATTTGGGATTCCAGAATTGGAAAGGGGCCAAGACAGTTTCATCCCATAGTCTGCTAGGGTTGCATCTAGACCCCTTCCTGTGGGGCTGCGGGAGGATGGGTTCTGCCCCTAGAGCCCAGAATCACTTTTTTCCCCTAAGCCTCTGCCACTGGCATGATGCCAATTCACTTTTTAGCACGTGAAACATTTTGACCTTCAGCTTCAGCTGGCCCAGTTTCCTATCTGTGAATATTTGGGCTTGCTGTGCTGCATCCACTGTCCCCCTCCCCTTGGTGCCCTCTTGTGTGACATCTTTATGAGTTACTCTCTCTGTAAATTTACAGCACCCAGCAATTTCTAAATGTGCACCCTTTCAGTACCTTCCCAGATTATCTCCATTGTGTGTCAGAGGTGGGGCTTCTTTCTTTCCAGGTCCTGATGAGCTGGTTCCACGTATCTAACATTGGGGATCCAGGGCACAGGGCAGAGGAGTCCAGTAGCTCTGCCACTACTCTAAACAAGAATTGCTGAGCTCAGTCTGCATTCCCAGCCTGTTTCTGTCCTGACAAGATGGCTTCTTTCCCCATACTTCCCAGTCTGCAGGGCAGTGCCTGTGGTCATTCAGGGAACAAAGGTGGGAGGTACAGAATTCTCCCTTCCAATTGTTTTAGGCTCCAGGAAGGCCAGCACCAGGCCAGGGGGATTTGGAGACATCCAGCTTTTACATTTCCTCTCCATTTGACTTGGCACTTCAGGCCCTACTACTCATGGTGGCTCTTTGCCCATAGACACAAGCAGTCCCTTCCTGACTGGCCTTAGTGCTTTCTTTCACGGGGGGGGGGGGGGGGGGGCAACTTTCCTCCATTGTGGATCCTCCAAGGTGCCCTCTTTTCTCATAGGGTGCGCCTAGCTGGGATGAAGATCTCTCGCCCCCCCACATCTGTGGGCCACTACAAAATGGTGAAGCACCGAGGAGATAAGGGCAATGAAGAAAACCCCCACAGGTAGGAAAGCAATTGTTCTTAGCTCCTCCGGGTCTGCACCCCAGTTGGTAAATGACACCAGGTCTCTGGATTCCTGGCTGTTCCTTCCTGGGTCTTAGTCTTCAACCTCTAACCTGCAGATTTGACCTCTTGGTCCGTACCCAGAATTCTTGGACTCAAGATGGGATGAACTCACTGACATATCGCCTGCTGGCTCGAGAGCTGGGCCCACTCTATACCAACATCACAGCAGACATTGGCACTGACCCTCGGGGTCCTAGGACTCCTGGGCCCCATTACCCACCTGGCTCCTCCCAGGCCTTCCGTCAAGAGATGCTGCAGCGCCGGCCCCCTGCCAGGCCCGGCCCTCTGCCGACTGCCAACCACACAGCCCCCCATGGCTCACACTGACTCTTTTCTGCCCACTGTAATCATGAAACTGCATCAGAGTTGTTCTTTCCCCACCTGCAGCTCTTCTCTGCTCTTGGAGAGGAGCTGTGTGGGGGCCAGGGACCTCTCCTCACTGCTGGACTGGAGCTGGGCTCCTGTAAACCTGGGAGGCCCTCTTTCTAGGGTCACCTAAGGGTTATGACTGTGAATCCTTGATGTCATGATTTTATGTGATGACTCCTGGGAGTTCCCTGCCCCTGGGGTGGGAGCAGGGCTGGATCCCGAGTCCCTTCCTCTTCATGGAAAGAAGAGAAATCCGGCTTCTCCCGGGACCTCTGTGAATATTTATTCTATTTATGGTTCCTAGGAAGTGTATTTGGTGAAGGAAATGCCTCCCTGTGTGCTCTGCCAGTACTGGAGTAGTTCCCTCTTCTGGACCTGGCTCAGGGGGCTGGAATTTTGATATATTTTCTAATAAAGCACTAAGTCTTGCCTCTGCTACTGCTTTCTGCATTCTGGGCACCCTTTGCCTGTTTTTGCCCCCTACCCCTATCTTTATGCACATAGGTGACAAAGAACAACCAGACCAAGCCAAGCTCTGGTAATGTTTATTTCCCAGGGTGGGAGAATCCATGCCAGCAGGGACAGGAAGAGGTGGGAGCTGGGGATCAACAGTTAGGCTCTGTGCCCAGGACCCGGATTGCTGCCTGGCGCCCACTCTCTATACAGTCATTGACTGCAACCCCTTCGTAGGAGGCCCCAGCCAGAGTCAGGGGCAGCCTCTGAGCAGCCAGGAATTGGGTCGCTGACTCTGGAAGGAAAGGACAAAAGGCATGTTGTAGCTGGGGGTGTGATTTCTTGTCCTGCAGCCCAACTGATTTCCCAACTTACCCAGTTTTTGCCAGTGGCCAAGTGTATACTGGGGGATGCAGTTCTGTGGAGAAAAGAGATATGGGGGGAAGTTTATTATTGATGTCCCAGGCCTTGGAGGATGGATAAGGACAAATACACTAGTCCTGACTTGCATAAGCACCTGAAGGGAGTTCACCCTACTCACTCTGTGTAGATGGACCAAGCAGTGATTTGGTTCCTTCAGTCCTAATTGTGTGGCAGCTGCTTTCTGTGCCTGCTGTTGGAACAGCTCCTGAGATAAGACAGAGCCCCTGGCTTCCAACGACTGTAACCAGGAACCTCCTAGCATCACCTAGGGGGAGACAGAGCACTAACCAGCCTGGCCTCACCTCTGCTAAGGTACAGACAGCCCTTGAGCCCCCACCAAGCAAAGTTGCCTCCTCTCACAGTTACTCTGAGGCCAGGGGGGCTCCCATCCTGCTCAGGGAAAGCAACTGAGTCATACACAATTCCCAGGACGCCTGGATCTTCTGAGGATGGCACCAGATGTCCAAATCCCTAGGGAAAAGGAAGCAGCTGGGTCAGGAAGGGAAGGTTCTAACCAAGCCCACACCTCCCCTTCCTGGGTCATACCTGAACAGGCAGACGAGCTCCTCGGTATTGTAAATTCACCACAGCCACAGACACAGCGGTGATAGTACTCAGGGCCTGAGCCAGAGGTGCAGCTTGTGCAGGGAGCAGCTTGCTGAGCACTGGGGGAGACAGCAGGGCCTGCTTCATGAATATTTGCACCATAAATCTGTCACTCTCCCAGGATTAAACTCAGGGGCATGGTGTGGAAACTAGTTTCCCTCACCCTGGTTGGGGAATGGGAGGGCAGCTATCCCATACCTGAAGCTGGAAGGGCACTGATAACATGGTCGGCCTCCAGGCTGCTGCTCTCTAGAGACACCTAAGCATGGAAACGTTTGAGAGGCACATATCACAGGTATTTTGGCTGTTTCCCAGGCACTCACAGGGCAGGAAAGACCAGGTGCTGACCCAGGAGGAAGACTCAGAGTGACTACAGTCAGCACAAAATTTGCCTCCTATTACTCCAGGAAATAGATTAGCCAGAGGCCAGGGTAGCTGCCCTGAAATGTTTAGGGAAGGGGGGTGGTTCTTTCCGTCTCTGAGCCACTTTATAAGCACTACTCTCCATAGACTTGGGTCAAACAGTTGAAGGAAGGTCCACAAATGTGGCCTAAGAACCTGGGGTAGCCCCAATTCAAATAGTTTCTAAGGCAGAAAAACAACAAGCAACTCCAGTTCTGCCAGGTCTGACCTGGTTAAAACATTTAGGCAAAGATGAAAACTTAACACACAGTTCAGTTCATTCCTGGGGGCTCTCCTACCTTCCAGCGCCCTCCTGCCTGGAGGCTAAGCCCACAGACTGGCTGGCCTCTGAGAACACTGACCCCCCTACTAGTGAGGTGGGTGTCAAGAGCCTGAGGCAATGTCTCCAGGCCTCCTCGGAGTGACCACTGGCTCCAGCGCTCAGCTCGGGCCTGGCGAATGAGTGCTGAGTCTGGCTGTGGGTGCCGGCCTGCAGAGGAGGAAACCGTGAAGATTCATTAAAATACAACCCTGGTCTACAGTCCTTAATCTCTTCATCCCTTGAACCAGTCCCCCCTCACCTGCCCCCAGCAGCAGCCCCAGTAATATGGAACGGTGGGTCTGCTCAGCTTGGAAGAGACTGGGAAAGCAGGACCTGATGCTGAGCTCCTGGCTGTTGCCTGCAAACACTCCACGGCAGAGACTGTCCATGGCTAGAGACGCCACCTTAAGGGCGAGACTGGGACTGAGAGGCCAAGGAATACACTGGCCTAATTCCATTGCCCTACTAGATAGGGAAAAGGATGTGGTTGGGTGCAGTCCCACTATGGCAACCACCAGAAGGAAGTGAAGGCCTTCATCCCCAACACAGCTGTAGAGACTACTGGAAGGAAGAGAAAAGGACGTGCCCAAATATACAGGAGAGTCCCTAGGTGGGTAGATGTGAGGAGGGGCTCTGTGGCAGGTTTACAAGAGGAAGGGTTTGGGGCTGCTGGGCAGGGTCACCTCAGGTCCAAGGCGGCGCTGGGCAAAACTGTGGACGGTCTCATCAGGGTCTTTGCCTCGGGGTGTGGTCAATTCCTTCAGACCGGCCCAAAACAGAGGTTTGGAAAAGGGGGGTGAAGGGCGCAGAAGACCCCTGCACAGAGGAAGACACAGAGAAGACGAGACGCTGGTTTACCTTCCCAGATCCAGGGGGCTCGCCTTTGGCCCCCTCTTACTCACTGGGAGGTAAGGAAAGGAAAGGAAGGCCTCTTTGGTAAGGAGGCAGCAGCGTTACCTGAGGCCGGAGGGCAGGGCGTGCAGGGCGCCGCCCACGTATAGGAATCTGTTGCGGGCGGCTGGGTGGTCTCCCCGGACCGGCAACACTTCGGAATCCAGGCCGAGTTCAGACACCTGCTCTCCACAAGGCCGCGGCCAGAGAGAGACAGGGTCAAGGAACAGGGTGGTCCTCCGCCATAATTCCTTCCGTTCCCCCTTCTAGTGCAATCCGTACCCTGCCCTGGGCGCTCTCCGCAGCCACGTACCAAAAGCAGGGTCCGGGCTCCCAAGGCTCCCGCGGGCCGGATTCCTCGAGGTCCAAGTTCAAAGATGGCTCCATCCGGCCCTCGGACAGAGCGGATCCAGCCTCCCAGCCGCTCGCTGCCCTCCACCAGGACCACCTGGGGGCCGGGGGGACAATGCAACCAGACTCGAGGTGCACGGGGTGAGAAACGCGGAGGGGTCCAAGGAGCTGCCGGGTCAGCGGGGCTCACCTTCGGGGGCCGCGACGCCCGGCTCAGGTGGTAGCTGGCAGCCAAGCCGCTGATGCCTCCGCCCAGCACAACCACGGTTCGGCCCATGGAGAGGTGCGATGCCGGCAGGATGTTCCCCTCAAGTCCACTGGTCCGGTCCCGCCCAGCACTTACTGCTTCAGAGAGACAGGGAGGTCCGCGTGGCCGGGGCTCACCCGGCGGGGAGAGCAGAAGGTGGGGGGCCTCCAGACCTCACCCCTCGCTCTGGGTGCGGAGGCAGATAAGGGGACCGCCCCTGCTATCGGCAGGCTCAGTTAGGGGCGCGGCAGCAGGCGGGCTTGGAAACTCGGGTCCCACCGCGCACGAGGCCCGGGCGGCCACTCCGCCCCCACCATTTTTGGTTCCTCCGACTCGCCGTCTCTCTGTTCTCGGGGCCCGCCCACGCCCTGCTTTCCTGCGTCCGGATTGGTGAGTCCGGGAAGGCCCCGGATCACACTCGCCAATGAGAGCGCCACCTGCCGGGGCTCCCCGAGGAGCGCGGCCCGGGGTGAGCTGGCTCCGGGCCGGAGGGACGCCCTGGGGCCGGCCGGCGCGAGCCTGAGCGCGGCGTCTGCGTTCCCCAGCTCGCGCGTGCCGGGGCCTCTCAGGGAAGGCCCCCGGAGGGAGAGCAGGCAGGGACAGAAGAGGTCGGCCCGTGGGGAGGCGGCTCCATAAACAGCATCCTGATGTTAGCAACAGCCGGGGCCTGCGGGAACTCGGGCCGCCGGGCAACGCGCTCGTGTTTGTCAACAGGGTCCTTTGGCGCCGCGTCCCCCCAACGGGCAGCCCCGAGCCCGCCCACAGCGCCTGCCCGCCAGTTCTGGGTCTCCGCAGCCCGCGGGTCAGCGTGCTTTTCTCCTGTCTCTCCCGACATAAATAGGCCTTCGCCGTTTGGGCTACGGTGGCACCGGCACGTCCGGGTCTGGACCCCCACCCGCCACGCCTCCACTTACCCCCGCCTCCCCCTCCACCCCAGCCTGAGGGCGCCGCTCTCTGCTCAAAGAGGGGACAGGGCCCTGTCCTCCCTCTGCCCCCAAGCACAACTACAAGAACGTGACTTTTTTCTTAATAAATTTATTCACAAAAAGTGATTGAGAGGGTTTGGGGGCTATACATGGGCAGGGTTCTGGGTTGCTCTGTACATGGGCTGGGAGACGAGAGCCTCCAGGTGGAAGGGTACTTTTCAATAAAAAAAATAATGGGAGCTACAACCACCCCCTCCCCCCTCCCCGATTAAAAAGACACAAAAATAGACGTCTCTGAGGTAAACGGGGAGCCTGGGGCTTAAGGGTGTTGCAAGGGTTTCACAGGTGCCAGGGCTTAAAGGGGATGTCACAGGCACCGGGGTGGCTCCTGCATCAGTTGGTAGAACAGCACGTAGCCCTCACTGGATGCCACCTGGTTTTCACTGACAGGGGAGACACTAGGAAGAAGGGAGATGGGGAATTGGGTGTGATCACTGCTGTATATTCCCTCCTTCCCTCTCAGCATCCAAGGAGAAGTTAGGATGGAATCCCCTCTCCTTTCACCAGGTACTCTATTCCCCTGGGGCTTCCTGTTAGGGAAAGGTGTCAGGGCTTCAGTGGGAACGGGGCAGGGGCCCAACAGGAGGCTGTTCTCACCGAGAGTCATTGTAGACATGCCAACCAGTCTGGCACCGGCACAGAGCTGTGTAGTGGCCATAGTGGACGCTGCCCGAATGGTTGCAAAGGGCATACAGCTGATAGATGGGGCTTCCTGCAAGGTGAGACTGGATCAAATTCTATATTCAGAGTTGTGCCCCCCACTACCTTCCCTCCCTGTCCAGTGGCTCCTTAAAACCTTCCTGACCAAACTCACCTGCTTTGTCACTGGCAAAGTCCCCTAGGCTCAGTCGCTGCAGTGGGAAGTCTACACCTACGGAACTTTTCTTGATGGAGCCTCGGGAGGCGGAAAATCGATTGAGATCTAAACACTGGTTAAGGAGAATTTGAAAGGCAGAGGGCCTCTCAAGGGGACTGAGGTCTTGAATGTTGTCCACCCCCCTTCACTAACACACACTGGGAACACAGTGTGGCAGAGGTGGATAGCAGGCTTTTCCTAAGGAAGGAATGCCCAAATGTACAGCCTCTGAAAATACGGAGAATGACAAGGACAGGAAAAATAAGAATGTGGAGATTAGGATACGGAGCACGAGGATTCGGGGGAATCTTTGTACTGTCAACTTTTTGGTACTTCGTGTTTTCTGCCGACATCGATCACACACCTGGATAAAGGTCAAATGTCAGGTTCATATGCTCCTCACCTCAATCAGCCTTTCCCACACCCTAACCCACATACACATTTACTGTGCTCCCCATTACTTCTGTGTCCTCTGAGCCATTCCCCTTTGTCCTCAGAGTACAAGGACTTATCTGAGACACTAACACAAACCCAGACATACAAATAATTGCTCCCCAGATTGAGGCATCATGCAGCCCCTTTTACCTATGTGGTGTCCTCCCCTGATCTCCCACCCTGTGAACCTCTACATACTGGGGCATTCTCCGATTCTAGCTCCTCTTCCTTGGTGAAAAGGCTGAAACAATCCCGCAGAGACACCTTGCCCCCAGCAAATCCTTTCTAGGGGGAAAGGAGAATGAAGGGTCAGCAGGTTCTGAATTTCCAACTCTTCTCAACCAATCCAGGCTTCAGTTCTGCCCCTGACACACACACACAGGGTTCCCTCCCACACTCTGGGGGTGGGTAGAGTTGGGTCACAGACCCCATGTCCCAGCCACCCCTGGAATCCTCTGGAATCCCCACCTTGGGGATGGGCAGGGACAGGTCACAAAAAACCTCGAAGGTCGTGGAGCGATACCCACAGGCCTGGCACTTGAGGCAACTTTTCAACTGGCCCACAAACAGGTCTAAACAGAAGCAAAGAGGCAGGAGACATGGTCATTTTGGATCCTGAGATGCTTCTCTGGTTCCCACCCTTTGCCTAAGTTCTTTTCCCACCACCAACGCTCCTAGCAACCCATTCACACCATGTCCATTTTCATCATTCAGTCTTACGCACACATCCTTTGATTGTATCTGTTTCTTTCCTCCAAGCCTGCACTGCCCCATGCTCTGCCCCATTCCATGTTCCATACCCACAATCTTGCTGTCCTCTCGCTCCAGGTAACGCTTCCACATTAGGTTGGCTCGGTCATCATCACTACCACAGATGAAGGGAAGTGGGGAGCACCCATCAGATAGCAGGAACTCTGGGCACCCCCCCAACACTGACATGCTCCCCAGAGATCTGTAACCACCCATGCCCCAGCTCCTCTAAATGTCAAGGGTAAGTCCTTCAGAGGACTTTCTGGGAAAAACCCCATGAGAAGAAAAGGAGTGCCGGCAAGGAAAGAGCAGGCTGTCTTCTCCCACTGGCTTAAAACCCGTTATGTACCTTGTTGTAAATTCATTATCCCCTCCTCCCTCAATATGGTAACATCCCTAACACTACACTCTGCCTCCATCTGCATCCCTGTCTCCCTCCTCCTCCTCCTTCCTTCCTCCTTCTGTACTGCTTCTCAAACCATTTGCTAGTCTGTGTTTCCTTGGACCCTACATCCTCAATCTTGCCTAGCTCAGTTCTGTGTAGGATGAATGCTGCTTGCTGATAAACTAGAAGAGGGAGAGGGAGCAACCCTACCTTAACTCAGGTTCTTCTAGCAGAGCCCCTCCTCGACGGGGTGGCGAGGGAGCTGGGTTGTTGGCCAGGATTGGTGGAGCCCGGCGGCCTCGTCGGTTGATTTCAAGGTGTAGCCGCTCCATGAGGAGCTTCAGGAATTCTTGGGCATCCTGCTGGCTACAGCCAGACAGAGTGTGGGCTATTGACCCCCACCCAATCTACAGACACAATCCCCTGCCCAGATATTGTCTCACTTTTTGCAGAACATCAAAGGTTCAGAACAATGCTGCCAGGCCCGTGTTTGGCCCTACCCCCAGACATGGTGAGAAAGCCCATACCCTCCAGCTCTCCCACCTGTATCCAGAGAAGGAGGGTACATATTTCTGGAAGACAGCTCGGAATCGAGTAGGATTCACAGCTTCGCACGAGTCAGGGTGCCACAAGGCACCAATCACATCTGCAAAGGCTATTGGAGTGGGAGTGGGGAAGGAAGACAAAGATTAGTGACTGTAGGAGGCCCATAGGGTTGAAACCACCTCTAAGAAAGCAGGCACTGGAAAATACAAATACTGTGGCCAGATTTAAGGGTTGGGGCCACCAACACTGGTACATGAACCTACAAGGAGTCAGGGAAAGAGAACTGAGAGGAGGGATCAGAAGTGGTCACCCCACCTTCAGTGAGCTCTTGGGCTCGGCCCCCTCCAGGCACCTCTTGCCGGAAGTCCCGCCGCAGACAGAAGTCCCGAAGAGGCCGAGTGCTGCTCAGACACTGTAGCACAGCATTCAGGAAGCACTAGGAAGCAGCAGACATGGCCATTATCTCTCCAGACCAGTGCCCAGGCAGCCTTAGGAGTTTCAGCACGCACCTTCCCCAAGTCAGCAGCCAACCCCCTCCCTGCGCCCAGCACCATTTCATATCCCCTTAGAGAGGACCAACAGGAGAATGGCTCTCACCGTGTTTCCCAGGTTTCGGAGGCCAACATGACCAGAGCCCAGGAGCAGGGTGTGATGTGCCTGGGAGGTCAGAGCATAATCAGCAAGCTCCCACACACCCCACCTGGCATTTCTGCCTTTCAATAGCATGCCCCCTCCTCCACCCCATACTGTACCCCTCAAAACTCAACCCACTTTCCCTTGCTGGGTATCGGGATCTCCCTACCTCTCTGGCCATGAGCAGCAAGCCCATCACAGTTGAGCGCACCACGGACTCAGCCATGGCTGTCCCTCCCATTCCCCACCTACTCCTCTGCCTAGCTAGCCGGCGCTGCAGCTCCTGAGGCAACTCCCCAAGCACTGGCATGGTTGCCCAGCTGCTTCCCACTCCCACTTTGCTACCCCCAAGGCCCCCTCCTGCCCCCGTGGCCCCTTCTTGCACCCTCTCCTGATGGCTCCAACTGCAGTCAGCCTAGCTCACTTAGCTCTGGAAATGGGCAACCACACTAGCTCAGATGTTCTGAGCCTGCCTCTTTCCAGCTCCAGAGATTAATTAGGCTGAGGCAGTGTCCTAGGAGAGATGGTGCAGCAAGGGAAAGTAAGGGCCTGGGGATCTAAAGAAGAATTCCAAATGGCTGGGTTAATCCCCCAGGGACTGAAATGGCACACCATGCAAGGGAATCATAGGCTACCCAGCAAAGGGTCTATGGGGCTCAAGGGTACTTAAGAGAGGAGAGTCTGAGCTGCTGTAATGAGAAGTTGAGGAAGAAACTTAAGGGAAAGGAGAGTGATATGATG